TCCAAGGAGAGATGGGGTGTGATGGAACAATCTGTCAGGAAGTATTGGGTGGCTCATAGTGACAGGTTCAGAAACAAGGTGGACAAGGACATCGGAGTAGGAAAGAGGCAAGGCGGGTGTAGATAATTCCCTTTCCAGTCACTGTCTTTAGTTTGTATTTCTCCAGCAGCTGACTCAGACAAGCACGTGAAAACTGTTGCCTTTTTTTTTTTCTGGGGTGGGGGTGCAATAATGACCAATGAGGGCACAAGGGAGACAGGGAGAATGGGAAGGAAAGCTAGCTAGCTCTCTTGAGCAAGACTGTGGTGCACTCCTAAGGCTAAGCTTTCCTGGACCTCAGAGGAACTCTGGGAACCATCTATCTCCCAGCTCCATTCCTTGTTGTGGAGTTCCCCTGAAGACAAGCGCCCTGCCAAGATATTTGCCAATCAACTTCTTGGGGCAAAACCCTCAACAGGCAAGAAGACCACAGCTCACTATGCTGTGGTTCTGCCAATGGCAGCTGTCTTGAACTCAGGAAGACCTGCAGAGTGCGGGCAGGGCACCAGGTACAGATGCCTGGTATGCCAACCCCACCCATGACTCCTTTGCTCCTTCAGCAAAGTTGTCGAATCATAGTTGAAGTTGGGGAAGGTCGAGGCCTTTTGAAATGTACCTAGGGTAGGCATAAGCAAGTGAGAGAGTCTGAGCTGGCTGAAGTCCACGAGACCTTGTTAGGGTTAAGGAGACTGAACACGGCGGGCTGAGTGGCAGATAAGAGCTTGGCTTGGCTTCTCTTCCTGCAGTGTAAGCCTGGATCAAGAGTGGGAACTGGGAGGAGTGTGGAAGTGCCTACAGCCTCTGCCCTTGGACCCATGGTTGCATAAGCTAGGGAAGAAGAAGAGCAGTCTTGTTCTAGTTCACACTTTCTTTTTCTTTTCACTGATTAAGCCCTGTGAGCCATTTCAAACAGTGAGCTCAATTCCTTGGCTCTTCTTGTATGACCTGTACCATCATTGTTCCTCCCCACTTATTAATCATGTACCATGTGCTGGAGGGGGAATTGCCCTACAAGTCAGCAGTGAACTTTAGACCTACCTGGGAAATATCAGGCTACAGGACTGCCAATGCAAGCATTTGGGGGTTTGGCTTATTGTCCATACTTTAGGTTTGCAACATGTTCTAGGGCACACATAGTTAAGAAAATGATTTGTGAAGTAGATTAAAATATTGATTATGGGTCTGGAAAGATAGTTCAGTGGTTAAGAGCACTTGCTGTTCTTCTAGAGGACCTGAGTTTGGTTTCCAGCACTCATGTAGGGTGGCTCACAACCACTTGTAATTCTAGCTCCAGGAGATTTGACACCCCCTTCTGTTGGCACCTGTATACACACACACATACACACACACACACACACACACACACACACACACACACACACACACACATCTTTTTTTAGAGAGTCCTTCTTAGCTATTACCTAAGATTGCTAAGTGCTGCAGGAAAGTGAGAGGAGAGGGTGAGGGACCCTGGAACAGAATTTATGAAAGGAACTTTTTGCAAGGGTGTGGTCAGGGCAAGGACATGGTGTTTCAGGCCTGGAGTCTGCCATGCCCTGGGTTCAAGTCTCAGCTTTGCCACTTGATATCTATGTGACCGTTGACCAATTCCTTAGCCTCTTCTGATTTATCTTAGATTTCTCTTTTCTGTTTTTCTTAAATCATAGCTACCACCCTGTGGGACAGTAAAGATAAACAGCTAAGTGACTTTCCCTTAGACACACAGGGTGAAGCCAGAGAAGTTAAGCAATGGCCCTCGGCTCAGCTATGAATGTGTGGCAAGTGTGGGCTGGCAATCAGATCCCCTTGTGCGGAGTCAGGGTTCCTCTCAGTTCCTCTCTGGCATCCTTCACGCTGGCACACTCCTCCCTGCCTGCCCCAGAGGGGAACTTGGCACAGAGTGTTCTCAGCCTCGCCAGTTCCCACAGGAGCAGCAAGAGCTCCATGAAGGAGTCCCAGAAATGCCAGCATCTTGCCTCCATCTCCGCCCAATAATTGTTCCAACCACATTTAACCGATGTGAGCCTTCCACCAGTGGGATCCAAGCAGAAGCCTGAGAGCAAAGTGGAGGAAAAACGGGGTCGACCTCTTAGTGAGGGAGCAGAGGAAATTTGAGTGCGATAAATGTCAAGTCAAGGTGAGGCGGAGAACACAACACCCAAAGTCCCCCGAGACAGGTACCAATGAGTGTCTCCTTGTGATGTAAGAGGCAATGTCTTTAAAAGAAATACTGGTGACTATTCATAGGAATCCCACATCGCATTCATCTTCCATTGTGAAGACATAAAACATGAGATTCCCGGCATCAACCTTTCATGAACCTGGGGCCAGGAGTTGTAGAACTCAGTCCTCTGAGCAGAACAGCTGCCATCTTCATTAGATCAGGAGTGCTTGCTTGCAAGAGTCCCCACCAGGAGGTGGAGCCTATAGACAGTCCCTCAGGAGGAGGGAGGAGGCGGAGGGGCCAAAGGACCCTCACTTAGGCCCCAGCTTTTCCTCCAGGGTATTTGTATGTCATTCTTTCCTAACCACATGTGGCTCCAGGATGTCTAGGGGAGGTGCTAGAGTATACAGTTTTGGAACAGTTAGTATACAGTTTCCACACAGCCATGGGGAAGCCACCATCTATGCCAGTGATGCTGCTTGGAGGCCCGCCTTGCTCTGTGGAGAACCCCTCACTACACCATGTAAGCAAAGTGAGTGCAATAAACGCTTTGTTTGCCAGGTTGGATTTTGGTAGAATCTTATTTGGCTTGTCATTAGGAGGACAAACCTTAGGAGGAGAGGGTAGACTTATCCGTCTCCCCAGGGAAGGAATTTTCACAACACCAAGATTGGTACACACACCTAAGACCTCCATGGCTGGTTCAGCATGAGATGAGAGTGTCTACAATTAACATAGTCCCCCTAGGACACTGGGTCGCCTCATGCAGTCCATGGAAGAGCATGGAAAAGTGTTCCTGTGGCAGGTGATTTTCTGAGCACCAGGATGAACTTCCTTTCTCTGTGGGGACACTCAGTGTCTCCTCTGAGAAGGTGTGGCTACAGGACTTGCTTTTAGTGGCAGGGTGTGGCCCTTTCAAAAAGTACCCCACTGAGGCATCTGCCTCTGAATTCTAGGGACTTGTTCCTAGATCAAATCCATCATGTCAATGACTTTTCCCTGGATTGGATGTTCTCTTGAAGGCTTTCCAAGCCTCATCCCTGCAAACAAATGGGTTTTATTTTCTCACCTCCACTCCCAGTTCTCCTGAAAAACATACATGCACAGCTAGCCTTAGCACTTCGGCCATTCTCCGTGGATCCCCAGCCCCTTTGAGGATAGTCTTTTGACAGACATGCCCCACCAAATCTAATGCAGTGCAAGCTGACTTTTTTTCATGATACTACTCAAAGTTCAGATGGTACAAAACACTTAAGAGAACACGGATCCAGCTACAAGGCTAAAAAGCATCCCTGCTTTTCCAATAACCAGCCTGTGTTTGTAAAAGTCAGTTATGTTCAGTTATTCTGTCCTGTCCCAGGAATCTGTCAGTTCTTCCAGATTATAGGTCATGTTCCCACTTCCAAATACACAGCTCACTGATGCTCTATACTGGCTATTGCTTCTTCCGATTTCATAGCAGTAGAGTTTTGAGTACACTGGATTATCAGGTTTGAGAATAGCACACTCTCTTTTTTTCCCTTTGAGATGGGGTTCACCATGTAGCCCATACTGGCTAGGCGATGACTATGACCATGACTCACAATAATCCTGCTGTTAGCCATCTGTGTGTTGGGATAACAGATGTACATCACCATGCCTGACCCAGCATAACTATTCTTATTGTATACCATTACTGAGTGAATGAACCTCCAAGATCTTAGACTAATTCTCACTACATCCTAACCCTTCTCACACAGTGAATCTCAGTTACACAATCAGTTGCAGGAGTCAGGTTATACTGGATTTGAAAGTGCCTATCAGCTACATAGCTTTGGAAAATCCACCAAGCCTCTCTGAGAGTCTCTCCTTAATCACAAAACGGGCTCTCTATCCACACTAGGGCCATGGTATTGGCAGTTAGCCCAGAGTCCTGTGTGTAGGGGAGCTCCACTCTTTTGTGTCTTCCCCTCATATGTCCTTTTTTGAATGGAGAAGCCCAGATGATTGATCTATAGGGGGCACAATTAGAGAAGTGTGTATGAAAAGGGAGCTGAGCTAGTTGTCCTACAAGCAGGGCCTAGAGGAGGGCAAAGTGAAGGGAATGAGAGAAATTGATGTCTTTAAATAAAATATTGATATTTCACTGGTGGGTTTTTTCCACAGATTTTAATATTTTACAACTGAAATATCACATGATTTAAGAATATGTCATAATGAAACCCACTATGGTGTATGCCAACTTAAAAAATAAATTAAGGGGCTACAAAGATGGTTAGGTGGTTAAGAGGCCTGGCTGCTCTATCAGAGGCCCAACACCCAGATGGTAGCCCACCACATAACATTAGAAAAAAATTTTTTTTCTTTCCCTTTTCCAGGCCCAGTGATGAATGCCTGTAATCTCAGCACTCGGGAAGCAGAGGCAGGAGGCTATCTATAAATCTGAGGCCACCCTGGTCTACAAAGCAATTTCTGGGCCAGCCAGGGCTACACAGAGTGGAGGTCCTGTGTAGGGTCTCAACACAACAACAAAAACTGCTTAAGAAATTTTATTAGGAATATTTAAAAAAATAAATATAACTTGCATAAAAGTTTTTATGCCACCCCTTTACATTTTGCATCTAACGAGTGCTTAAGTTCAAGATGAGGCGAAGCTGAAGGAAAAGAGCCTAGCTCTCCCAGGCATGACACTTCTGCACAAGAACATGCCTCTGGCCTTGAAAGGGGCGGAGCGAGTGGACTACAACTTCCAGGGGGCCACGCGGAGCGGCGCTCTCGCTGATTGGCTGTTTGATCACCGCCCTCCGCTCCTCCCCTCCGAAGTGACCCCGTGTCAGGTCCCGGGCTACAGTGCTCCCGAGGCCCACTCCAGGCCAGGCACTTCCCTTTGCTAGCTTCATGGCGGCGCGGTCTGCCTTCCGGATGCTGCGGCGGCTCCTGAAGTCCAGCACCCGGGGCTGCAGCTCGGGGGCTCCGGTGACGCAGCCCCGCCCCGGGGAGCCCTCGCGACCTGCCAGGGAGGTGAGCCCACCCCGCCCGCCTGCACTCACCTAACTGGAGGGCGATCCAAGCGTGCCACCCTGAAGGTGGAGAAAGCACCCTGTCCTGTCCTGGAGGCCTCTGCTGGGGCGACCCAGGGCACTCACTGATGGGTTGCTTGAGTTCACTCCTACCCAGCGGGAGGGACTCCTCAGAGTTTCCCTTGAACTCCCTTACCCGGGCTGTGCCACTTTCTAGCAGGTCTCTGCCTGCAGGAAATAGGGGCTACCTGGGAGTGAGACTTCGGTTCCAATGAGCTGTTTTAGCCTTCCCTGACACCCAACCTTTTAAACGGTTTCCCCTCACCTCCTGAGCGGAGGGTGCCCGTACATAGTCAAGTGTGGCCAGGACACCTGCTTCTTAGTGTGACAGGGACTAAAAAAAAAAAAAAAAATGTTATCCAGGTGCCGCCCACAGTCGGTTGTCACTTTGTAGTGGCAGGGCTCCGTGATCTATCCTGTTTCTCTTGGGAGGGCTTGGCCTCTTTTTAGTCAGGAACAGAGCAATACTAAGCTCCAGGGGAGGAGTTCCTGCCTGTCTTCCTAGTGTGGGGCAGGGTCCTTCAGGCCCCCATTGTACCACTCTGTTCCTGTATGGTTAGGGAAACATTTGCAGGGGGGCCGGTTCCTTTTCCTGTAGCTCCTTCTCCATGTCTCCCAGGACAGGGCTTGATGTCCTGGGACTCTTGAGTTTCATAATATTTGACGCTCCTGCTCCTGTCTTGCTCAAGACACAGGTGGACTTCTGCCAGAGCGCTCACTTCCTCAGACCTGCCTCTCCGGAATCCTCAGATAAAGCAGGCTTATTGTTATAGGGATCTTCAAAGCCTTGAACTTTGTGCTTGATTGAGTGAAAAGCTAGGGAAGCCGAGGCCACTGTGAGAGTTTTAAAAACGATACTAGCAAAAAGAATTTTCTTCTTCCTCATAATTATTTTGTACTTTTTGTGAGAGGGCCTGTGCAACGTGACTGACCGATGGCCTTTCGTGCTCAGGTAACTCAGGTCGCCGTGAGGCAGAGCAGCAGGAACCTAAACCCCAAGAAGACCTGTGCTATCCTCTCCCTTCAGACGCTGTACCAGGTCTTTTATATGGTGAGGGCATGAGTGATAGAGCAGAAAGGCACAGGCTCCAGAGCAGAATCCTGGGGTTTGAATGAGTCCCACACCTTATTAGCCATGTGACTCTCTTCTCTCAGAGAATCGGGGCCTGTGTTTTGTAGGGTAGGGGTGTTAATGTCTTCATCATAGGGTGTCATAGAGCTTAAGTGTTCATGTGTGTTAATCTGTACACTCAGAACCTGGTGAACGCAGGTCCCGTTGTGTTGATGTGTGGTGATTATTGATTCGTTCAGCCTGTGGCAGGTGTTGTGGTAAGGCCTGTTAGGCCCCTCCTACCTGGACAAGCATCATTCTGTCAACGGTGCCATCAGACATTGCATTCTGAATATCTTAGTTGCCACCGTGTTCCACCAGTTGGAAGTCCCTGGATGCTAGGGCTCCCACAGCCTTTCTAGGTATTTCCACAGCTTCCCACAGGGCATGCAGACAGCCATGTCAGCAAATAGTTTTGGCTGCTTGAAGCACATTAAATGTGTTAGGTGGAACAGTGAGACGTAAGGAGACCTATGATCTTTTGCTGGTCTCTAATTTTATCTGACTTCTAATCTGAGCTCTCACTTTTCCTTGCTTTCTGTAAATCCAGAGGCTTGGACCAGCTCACCTCGTCCAGGAGCATAGGACATAGGACTCTGAAAGAGAATCTTAGAGGTGAGGTGAAATTATGTATTCACCTCCTTAACAGAACTGCCAGTGGGCAGGAGCAGAGGTGTGATCATCCAGGATCCTCATCCTGCCCTCCTTTCTTGCAGGGACCCTCTGCCTGCCCTCCCCAGGGCTGGTGGTCTGAGGTAGAGAGCCATGGTGGATGCTCACTGGGCATCCTGTGTATCATGGTGTGGGTATGAAAGAAAAGTGAGTCTTACATGGAAGCTGGCCATGGGGAGAGTGGAGAGGGGGCCTTGGGTCAGTCTAAAGACAGGCAGGCAGCTTTCACAGATGCCGGGGAAGACTGAGGAGGGCCAGACATCTTCCCTAAAGGATTTAGCTCAATTCAGGTATACCCTTTCTCTGGAACTCTCTTCTGACTTCCTGGAGGCTGAGGTCTGAGCCTGCTCTCTCTGGTGGGGTTAAAGGATGGGGTGACTGGGTAAGGCAAAGTTGCCTAGATGTTCAGAGTTCTAGAGAAGACCAGAAGTGGCAAGTGGGTGTTGAAGACAGAAAGTAGGTGTAGGAGAAAGCAGAGGGGTGGTGCTGGGGGGGGGGGGCGGGGAGGACAGTGCTGGGGGAGGAGCAGGGAGGACAGTGCTGGGGGGGCAGGGAGGACAGTGCTGGGGGGCAGGGAGGACAGTGCTGGGGGGCAGGGAGGACAGTGCTGGGGGGGGGAGCAGGGAGGACAGTGCTGGGAGGTCTTTCTTCCTCACTTCCAACCTGCCCAGACCCTTAAAATCCATGTCTTAGGGTAGTAGACATGCTGGAGCTAGAGATGGGAAGACCCCTCACTCTCAGGTCATGGGGGAGAGGGCCATATAATCAAGCTTGGGCAGCTTTTATTCAATAGTTTGAGATACTGTGTGTGTGTGTGTGTGTGTGTGTGTGTGTATGTGTGTGTATGTATGATGTATGTTCACGTGCATGTGCCTGTGTTTTTGGAAGCCAGAAGGCAGTCTCAGGTGTCTTTCCTCAGCTGTAGTCCACTTTGATTTTGAGACAAGGTCTTTTATTGGGAACCAGGGCTTGAAAATTCGGGTAGGCTGGCTAGCCAGTGAGCACCAGAGCTCTCGCCTTAGCTTTTTAAACATGGCTTCTGGGGATTGACGTGGGTCCTTATGCTTGTAAAGCAGGCACTTCCCACTTCAACTAATCTAGTCTAGATCATCTCTCCTTTGCCTAGAGGGGTTTGTTTCCTAGGCTTGTCTCCTGGGCAGGTCTAGGTCAGGCCACGTTGACAGTGTTAACAGTCAGATGGCAGTGGCTTGTTGGCAGTGTCTGTAAGGGACCCTTCAGTTGAGTTAGATGGGATTGTCTTCTCTGTGCAGAAGAGAAGGCTAAGCAGGCATGTCCGACTGTCACTGCAGTCATGTCAGAGCCTGTGCCCAGCTGGAGTACGCCAGGCTTGGCCACCATCCTCAAGAAGCCACAAGAGTCAAATTAATAGTGATAAGCAGAAAAAGAATAGTTTTATTCAGTGTGGCCATACTGGGAAGAGGGACAGAGAGACTCAGTGGACACCTCCCCCTACAGATCCATCTCTGGGGTTCTGACACGAGGTTTAGTTGTAAATAGAAGTCAGGAGGTGTGCATAGCTGAGCGGCCCTGGTCAAAGTGTGGCTCTGTCCATCACTGACTCATTGTCTCATCCAGTCTCCCTGAGAAGTGGTCTGGCAGGACACAGTGAGGTCTCTGCAGGAAGACAAGGCCCCCCTCTGGCTGGCATCTTTTCTTTCTCTCAGCATGAGACTCTGGGGGAATTCCAATTCTCTGGGATACCTTGTTTCTACAGTCCAGACAGTGAGGGACACAGCATCTCTCTAGAATGTCCTCAGTTCTTCCAGCATGCCCATTACACAACCTACAAAGCCACCTCTGCCCCCAGATAGCTTGGGGTGTGGCCCAACACAAAGCCATAACTTAAAACGTTATCTTCTTTATTTTTTTTTTTTTAAACATAGTTGTGTGGTTCTTTGTAGTTGACAACATTGGGTTGCAACATCCAAAGGCAAATAAACTTTGTAGATGACAACATTGTGTTGCAACATCCAAAGGCAGGGGCATGCCTGGAACTTGAGAGGATCCAGGTGCTCGGCCAGTAGCTAGAACTAGGTTTATAATTCAGGTTTACCTGCTCCAAAATCTGTGCTCAGAACCAGGATTGCTACTCCTGGATTAAAAGTTTCCTCAGCCCTGGCTGCGGAGTGCAGAGTTCAGACACCAGAGGAAGTCACTCTTGGGGGCTGGACTCTCCAGCTGTCTTAGAAGCTCTGTGGTAAATCTGATGGGCTGCCTGCGTCAAGAGCCTTGTACAGGGCGAGACCCCTCTGGAGGTGACTCTGCAGCTGGGTTTGCTTCTGTCATTTTCCTCATAAGATTAGGGGCAGGCTGACATGTTCCACAGCAGTTTGACATACTGTGGTCAACATTGGACCCCTTGGATGGGAGAGGGTCATACCCCCTACCCCAGGAAACTGAGGGAAGTGGGGTGGGGTCACGAGGTGTGGGAGGAGAAGAACCCGGGGATGGAGCTTGCTGTATCCAAATGATAAATTTGCTTGGCCAGCTAGGAGGGAAGGGTGTGTGTTGGCAGGTTGGGCTAATGGCCAGCCCCTTAATTACTCCATGGCCAGGCTTGCTCTCAGGTTTCTGCTGAGTCACGTTCCTTGGTCCTCTCGCTCCCTATTCCTGGATTTATTTGGCTCCTCCCCAGCCTTTGCACAACCACATGTTAAGTTGAAGGGAGGAACACCTCAGCCACTGAGAACTGGAACCTGGAGTGATTCTCTGTAGCTGGTGGTGAATAGGAAGGTGCCGTTCTTCCCCAAACCTGGCTCCTAGGTCGCTCATCTCCTGGAGCTTGCAGTGATCTCTTCCCCCAGGCCTCACACAATGACTGACTAATCCTTCCTTTTGGCACTGGGTAAGGAATGCAAAGTATAGGGACTGTGTAAAGAAGACCCTAGACTTGCCAGCACTCAGCCTCCAGCTTGAAAGCACCGGCTTGGGCAAACTCCTGTAGGGAAGATGTCTGTACAGTCTCAGCGGTGGGCCCATCCTTCAGTCTGTCAGGGAGAGGGACAGTCCTGGTTACTGTGGATAACTGGAGGGAGGGAGGTACTGTGCAAGCTAAGGGAGAGGCAGCCCATCTCTGGGCTGCCTCAGTTCTCCACAGCTGAGCCAGAGCTGTGGCCCAGGGCCACAGAGCCAACAGCAAGGGCCCATATCTTCATCATGTCCCTGTCCTTGCAGGAGCTGTCCATGAGGCTGCAGTTCCTCCAGGAGCATGCTGCTCCCTTCTCTGCCTTCCTCACGGACAGCTTTGGCCGGCAGCACAGTTACCTGCGGATCTCTCTCACAGAGAAGTGCAACCTCCGATGTGAGTCACCTTCTGGGCCACTGTCCCTCTGCTAAGGTGACATCTGCAGTCACTTCTGTCTGAAAACCTTCCTCAGCCCTCCCCTTCCCCTATGCACCTCCCACTCACCTCACCTCATTGGCAGCTGGTCAGCCTCTTGGCGGCTACACAGGTCGAAGTTTGCTTTTGGATCCTGGAAACTAGGTTCTCCTCGAGATTAGATTTGGAAGCAGAGTTGTGATCGGGTTTAGGAATAAGGGTAGACCTGGGGCTGTTCTCCCTCCTCAGAGCTCTGTCCTCCTGTTTCCCTTCAGAGTCCAAAGTCCAGGACATGGCCTGGGGTGTGCGTGTAGCAGGGGTGGGGGTGGGTAATGGACATTTCAGAAGAGTGATAAATAGAGCCATGGCCGTGAGATGCCCCAGGCCTGTGCTGGACCAGCTACAGCCACACCAGCACACAGAACCCGTCCTGCACTCCTGGGCTGCTCTCGGGGTGTGTCCACGGCTGCAGACTTCTAGTGTGGCTCTTCCTCCTTTCTTTCCTCTCAGCCTGTTCTTCTCCCTCTTAGCCCCACTTCCCTGTTTCCTCCCTTTCCTCCTGCCCCTTCCTCCTGCCTCTCCTCCTGCCCCTACCATGTTTCTCAATAAGTAGTGAGTAAGTAAATGCACACGTATTTGGTAATCAAACAACATACACTATTTGTTCTCACTGTCTCTTTAGTCTTGAGAGTCCAAATGTGCATTCATTGTGCATATTTGACTTTATGGCTCCAGTAGGCATTTCCAACCCTCTGATTTTGTTAGGTGTTGATGTCTACAAAGATCACACTGAGAAGCTGGTAGCTGGGTTCCAAAGAAACACACACACACACACACACACACACACACACACACACACACACACTCACAATTGTAAGGGTCCAGGAGGTGGCTCAGTAAGTGCTCATCATGCAAGTATGAGACCCTGAGTTCAATTTTCAGAACCCATGTTAAAAAAAAAAGGCAGGGCATGGAAGGCAGGGCATGGAGGTGCTCTCATAATCCCAGTGTTGGGAAGACAGGGTTAGGTGGACCCCTTCACTGGCCACCCAGCCTAGCTCAATCAGCAAGCTCCCAATAAAAATAAGACCCTGTCTCAAAAAACTAAGATGGAGAGTGGCTGAGGAGGCCACTCCAGGTTGGCCTTTGACCTCTACATGCACACATGCACTTGCACATAAATCTGAACACACATACATACAATTGCAAAAGATCTCACAATGTTTTGAGCTTGTGATTTTGTGTTGGGCCATGCTGACAGCTGTCTGGGGCCACATGCAGCCCATCGACAGGGATGGACATGTCTGTGAGTCTAGCAGATCTGGCCTGACTCGTGATGAAGGCAGCCTGCAGAAAGTGATGGTAGGGCACCGTACCCCTGCCTCCACAGCTCACCTGTTCATCCCATTCTACTCCTCCATCTCGACAAAGAGCCCCTAAGTTTTCCAGCCTGATGCAAATCTGCACATAGGATGGATCTGGGGACACTGTAGTAACAGGGGGCAATGGCTTTCACCAAGCCAGATCATTCCTTTATCTCATGGCATGCGCAGAAGAGGTGACTTTACCACAGCTAGATAGAGTGAGAATGGACCATGATAACAGACGCAGGCCCATGGCCCTGGCCTTTGTAGGCCTTTCTAGGACAGTCTGCCCAGCTGCCTTCAGAGTGAAGGAGCCAGCATCTCAGGCATTCCCCTGCTCTCAGCCAGGCTCTGCTTTGGGCCTCGTTTATCATCTTTAACCTATACTCAGCTCCCTGGTGGAGGGATAGGGAGGCCAGACTACAGGGAGAGGAGAAATACCAAGTGAGTGTGTACCATTCAGATGGGATTCAGGACTACAGTTAGCCTGTTGAGGAGCAGGGGCATCTCCTGCCTGCCACACCTGTCCCCACCTCTCCATCCCCTTCCTTTTCTCAGGCCGATATTGCATGCCTGAGGAGGGTGTGTCCCTGACCCCCAAGGCTGACTTATTGACCACAGAGGAGATCCTGACCCTTGCTCGGCTCTTTGTGAAAGAAGGTGTGGATAAGATCCGTCTCACAGGTGGAGAGCCCCTCATCCGGCCAGATGTGGTGGATATCGTGGGTGAGTGCCTTCATCTCTTGTCTCATTCAACTAATGCTTATTTGACAGCTGTCACTCATGTAGACATTTGTAAACGGAGGCTTTTCTGTCCACTCGGTCCCGCAGCTGCTTTTAAAATAATCACTCACAGGCTTAAGATTAATTATGAACCCTTTGGCCTATTGTTCAGGCTTATTATTAACTAGCTCTTACAACTTAAATTAACCCATTTCTATTCATCTATGTTTTGCCACATGGCTTTGTGACATTACCTGTTCTCTAGTACATCTTGTTGCTCTGGCGACTCGCTGGCATCTCCCTGACTCCTCCTTGTATCTCTGCTTATATTTCCTGCCTGGCTCTATTCTGCCTTGCTATAGGCCAAAGCAGCTTCTTTATTAACCAATGATAATAAAAACATATTCACAGCATACAGAGGGGTTATCCCACAGCATTTCCCCCTTTCTGTCTAATCAAAAAGGAAGGTTTTAACTTTAACATAGTAAAATTACATATAACAAAATAGTTATCAAATAAGAATTATAGTTACACTATCTAGTCTATTTGTATTTGACAATATTAGAGAAAATATTTAATTATCTATCCTATCTTGGTGAATTAAAAGTTTTATATCTAATTTACCTTTTTATTATAACTAAGAAAACTATAACTATCTACTCTTCAATTCCATCAAATACCTGAGAAGGAAATAATATTACCTGAGTAAGCAGGAAGTGCTAGCAAGTGACTTCCAAAAAATGTGAGAAATGGCAGAGACAGCTGGCTGCCTGGACAGTCACCCAAGGTTCCTCTGTAATATCGGGGCATCCATCTTTGGCCTACAGGCCTAGTATATCTGACAAACTTTCCTATGAAGCAGGGAATTTTGAAGGACTGGCCTACCTTGTCTTGGCAAAGCTTGCCAGTCACCTTTCTTGTGTCCTGCTGGTCCAGTTTGGACAGTAACTGTCAGCAGTTGAAGCAAGGGCACTTTCTTTGCCCACATGGTCAGCTTTTGCCATGAAGAAAATAAACTCCATATAGGATTTCTTTGATGCCCATCATTTTCTCTGGAGTACAATGGTGCTGCCAGAAGCAGATGTGTCTCACTGTCATGAAAAGTCCAAGTTTTTAAAACATTTTAAATATCATATTCTGTAGGTCTTTGAAATGTTTGAAGAATACCAATCTATCTGAAATATATCTTTGTATATCTAGAAAACCTAACTAACATGACTATAAGTTTGACTATTTTAGATGACTAACTGTACTTTTGTAAATCTATATTTCTTAATTATATTACATTTTCAATTGAGATATATAAACACAATATCTTAAACAAGAGTAGAACTATACATACAGTATAACAAAATTAACTTTAAATTTATATCAATAAACTAAAATCCTTACCAATGTAATATATTTTGAGGTTAACAGTTGTTTTTTGGATAAAAGTAGATTCAATAATCTCCCCTTTTCTCTCAAATTTTCTGTATCATATCTCCCTTTCTTCTTTTAGAAGGAGATTGACTGTGATCAATAACAATTTATCATCAACCCCCCCTTAAAAGAAAACAAACACTTATAAACAATTTTTGAGAATTTGGACGTAGTTCTCTAGACTACTTCCTGCTGATAGGTGGGTGCTGGTAATCTTGAGGGACCTTGAGAAAATGTAGAATTATGGTTAAATCTTGGCTGTAGTAGTCTGTGATGCTGCATCATCCTAGCCAGTTGCCTTGAAGCTGTTCTGAATGTCGGATCATCTGGGCCATTGCTCCCATTGGAGACCTCTCAGGGGGTCTTTCTTGATGGAACCATATTAACCTGGAAGGAATCTATAGCTTCCCATCTTCTGTGGAAACAAAAGCAGAACCTCTTTTCCAATGTAATATATCCTTAGACATAAATTTTGAAGTCAAGTTACCCTCAAAACATATATGTTGGTTTAACTTAGCAGCCCCCACAATCAAATGTCTCTCAGCATTTAGCTCATTAACAGTCAAAATCCAAAGAAAACACAATAATATACATATTTCAGGCTCTTTGTGTATTTTCCATCTTTATGTGGCTTATTATAATGTTTATTACTCTTCCTTTTTCAAGGACCTCATTTTATTATCCTTAAATTATTTTTTTAATCTATAACTGTCTCTATTCTTTTTCCTCTCTCTCCTAAGCCTATGCATACTTTTTAAATACATTGTGACCCTTTTAGAGGTCTTTTTTAATCCGAATCTGTCCTTATTGTGTATCTGTAATCCGTTTCTGACCGTTGCTTTAAACTGCTAAGCAGGCATGGCTAGGACCAAAGGTGTGGCTTTGGCTGCTGGCTCCGCCCCACTCGGTTTTCCAACATGGCAGAGGCACCAATGAGAGCTCACCCCCACAACTCTGAGAAGCATCGTTAAGAAGCATGCCTGTGTTCCTAAGCCTGCGGCTGTGCTCTCAAGCCTACAGGCAGTGGCTGGGAGAAGCCTCTTTATACCGCAGCTCATGATAGACTGCAGGAGTCTGCCATGTTGCAGCTGAAGCCCACTGCAGCCAGGGGACTGCAGTCCTTAGTGAGAGACATGAACTATGAAGCTGCTCTTGGCTCCATTTTTGTGTGTCTAGAACCTTTTTAAGCTTTGTTAGGTCTTACGTGGAAATTCCAGCCCCACATTGGGTGCCATATGTAAACGGAGGCTTTTCTGTCCTACCTGGTCCTGCAGCTGCTTTTAAAATAATCACTCAGAGGCTTAAGATTAATTACAAACCCTTTGGCCTATTGCTCAGGCTTATTATTAACTAGCTCTTATAACTTAAATTAACCCATTTCTATTAATCTATATTTTGCCATGTGGCTTCGTGGTGTTACCTGTTCTCTAGTACATCCTGTTGCTCTGGCGGCTCGCTGGCATCTCCCTGACTCCTCCCTTCTCCCTGTATCTCTGCTTGGATTTCCTGCCTGGTTCTATCCTGCCTTGCTATAAGCCAAAGCAGCTTCTTTATTAACCAATGGTAATAAATTCACAGCATACAGAGGGGTTATCCCACAGCAGACATTGGATCCTGCCGCACCCTTTAAGACAGCTGCTGTTTACTGTTTTGATGAGGAATGATGGCTATGGAGAGGTCCGTCTTGCCCAAGGTCTCAGCTACTTGATGCCAAATCACCGTGTCTGTGTCTTGCTATGACATTGAGTTCAGAGTTCTCACCAGAAGGCCCCTGTGACCAGGCTCCTGTTAGCCACTACTCTGCCCCTTCCCTCCTCTCTGCCCACACAGCTAGCTTCTCAGCATGTCTCTTCCTTTTGCCAGGAGCTTGTCATTTGCCCTCTGTCGGGTGCCTGCTCAGATTTTCTCAACTCAGCAGGACCTTGACTGTTCTACTTCCACAAATGTCTGCTCCTTCCAGCCACACTTTCTCTCAAACCCTGGCAAGCTGCAGGCTGTGAACTAATTAGGCACTGCCTCCTGGTTTTTGTTTTTAAGTTTGGATTTTATTCTGTGTGTGTGTGTGTGTGTGCTCACACATGCATGCACGCACATGCGCGTGCGCGCGCACGCACACACACACACACACACACACACACACACACAAGAATGCAGTGCCCAAGGAGGCCAGAAGGAGGGCATCAGATCCTCTGGAGCTTCCTGATAAGGAGTGCTGGGAACTGAACTCTAGTCCTCTGCAAGGGCAGTACATGCCCTAAGGCACTGAGTCAGCCTGTCCCTCCAAACCCAGCAGGTAACATTTGGTATTGAGGGTCTTTCCTGTGTGTTGAGAAGGCCATATGGCTGTCTCTTCATGTTTCCTTGTCAGCACTGACGTTGAGGAGTCCGATGTCACTTCATTTGGTTCTGCTTCTGTAAGGTAATTGATCTTTTTCTCTGGAAGTTCTTAGTGTTCCTTTTTATCTGGTTTCCTTGAATTTTAAAAAGCAGTGTCTATACCTCAAACAGGCTCTTCCTTTGTGTCCTGTTGGCATTCAGTGTAGTTTCCCTGTATAATAAAACACTTGTCAGAAGGTCGGGCAAACTTTTACCCATTATTTGTTTAATACTTTGTTCTTTCCATCATCTCTTTTCTCTTTATAGTGTCTGGTATCTGGGTGTTACCCTGTCTCATTGCTTCCATGTTTTTCAATTTAATGTATACATGTATGTTAAGAATGTCATACAATTGTTTCTTTAAGGCAAGCATTATTTTTGAGAAGTCTAATGTAACTTTAAGATACATGCACACACATACATGTAGATATGTGCACTATATATGTACATGTGCACATATGTTTATATAATTGTGTGTGTGTGTGTGTGTAATTTTCTTTTTTTAGATAAGGTCTCATTAACCCAGGCTGGCCTTAAATTCCCTTTGTAACCGAGGCTGACTGAACTTCTGACCCTTCTGCCTCACTTCTCAAGTGCATGCAAGTGACCCAGCGTAAACGGTGATTTGATTTCAGGTTTTCTTACTCCTTTTCTTTCCTTGGGAGTGCAGCCTGGTTTTCTCCCGACTCACTGATTGCTCCTGCTGTTTCCACCCACATTACTCTGGTTCTGCCGTTCCCTTTATGTCGAGATTGTCTTTACCTTTAATCATTTTCAGCCTTTCTCTTGAAAGATTAAAGATGCCGCCTTTGTAATAAAGCTCAGCCAGTTTACATTAGAGTGTGGGAAGACTGGAGTTAGTTTATTGCTGTGTAGTGCTCTATAAAGAATAAATAAGTTTATTTTTGAAATGAAATATGCCATACTCTGAAAAATCACTTCTTTGTTTTCCTGACTTTGAAGCTTGAGCCATTTCTGCCTGTGACACCACTTTCAGTGTCGTAAGAAGGCTGGAGAAATGAAGCCTCTTGGTCTTTTCTGAATCCTATTTCAAAATTTTAGTACTTTTATTATTTTTATCTTTATATTTATCACTGTGCTAACTAGCTTTTGTCACCTTGATACAAGCCAGGGTCATCTGGGAGGAGGGAATGTCCGTTGAGGATCGCCTCTATACCAGACTGGCCTGTAGACAAGTCTGTAGTTTGATTACTGGGTGATGGTGGAGGACCCAGCCCGTTCTAGGTGGGCCGCCTGGGCTGTTGGCCCTGGGTTCTATAAGAAAGCAGGTGGAGTGTGCCCTGGGGAGCAAGGCAGTAAGCAGCCCCTCCATGGCCTCCACATCAGCTCCTGCCTCCAGGTTCCTGCCCTGCTTGAGTTCCTGCCCCAACTTCCCTTAGTGATGGACTGTGAGCAGAAAGTGTGAGCCCAGCAAACCCTCTCCTCCTCCAGTTGCTTTTGGACAAGGTCTTTATCACAGTAGGAAGCCCACTAGGGCGGTCGTGCTTGTCTCCTGTTGGCTGATTTTGGCAGGTTTTTGTTTTGTTGTATTTTTTTAATTAGGACTTTAGAGGAGTAGAGTTGTGTGGAAGGGGTGGTGGTGTGTGTCTGCATGGTATCTACACATGTGGGCGGAGGCCCGAGGAAGATCTCTTTGTGCTGCTGTATTACCCTCTATCTTATTCCCTTGAGACAGAGTCTCCAGCTGAGCCTGGAGCTAGGCTGGCAGCCAGCATACCCCACCATCCTGGCTCTGTCCCCCACGGTGCTAGGGTTATTATACTCATTGGGGTTACAGGTGTTAATGGCCACACATGGCTTTAGTATAAGGGTTTTTAACTCAGTTTGTTTGTTTGTTGTTAATCTTTTTGTTTGGATGGGAGGGGAGGACAGGGGAGGAAGGGTGAGGGAGAGAGGGAAATAGGGCCTCCAGTGAGGTTTCCTGATGTCTGTGTTCTGTAGGGTGTGGAGAGAGGGTTTCCTGTAATCCATCTGGTTGTGAAAGCTCACGCAGAGCAGAGTGGCGGGTCCTCCCAGACCATGACAAGTGTCTCATTCATGCCTCTCACCACAGGCCCGTCTTCAGGCCTCTGCCTTGACTCCCTCGGGGAGAAATAGGGTTGGAGGGAAGGCATTACCTGGTCAATCCACCAGGCCTGGGGTCCTGGAGGAGAGGCTGAGGAGTGAACCTGAGGTTGGTCAGTACCCACCTGTGGTCCTCATCTGTTCCCAGCAGGGCATAGCAGCTTCCCCGACCTCCCCAGTGGGCTCCCAGATGAACTCACCAGGTCCTTCAGAAAGGGCCAGGTGATGATCCATAATGGGGATGATCGTGCCAAGGAGTGGCCGAGGGCCAGACAGAGCGCCTCACCTGCCTTGCTGTCCTTCGGCTCTGCAGATTCTATGCCAGTCACCTTCATCCCGGCCATGCTGTGTCCTAAACCACTGCCCTCCTTCCTACGAGTTTCTCCGTCCTTTTCTTTCGGTTGTTAGAATGTATGGATTTGGCAGAGGCAGCCCATAACCTGTCTCTCTTTCAAACGGCAACTGTTGCTCTTTTAGTGAAAGGACATCTGCACATTTCAGAGGGCAAGGCAGAGAGAACTCTGCTGTTGGCCCCTGGAAGGGCTGGTTACATCTGCGCATGGTGTGTGCGTCCTTCCCTGTCCTTCCTGCCCCTCTCCTCTGCACCCGTTGCTTATTTAGAGCTGCTCTGTCCCTCAAGAGGGCATTAGGTACTTTTCCTGCCCGTTACCAGTGCCTAACAAAAAGCCACTTGACGGCAGGGAAGGGTGAGGCCCAGGCCCATGGTGGCAGAAGCTTGCTGTGTGACCTGTCGGTCAGGAAGCAGAGACTGGACAAGCTGGGGCCAGCTATAATCCTGTGTCTGTCGGCCGGGCCCAGATCCCAGAGGTCCCAGGACTTTGCTGAACAGTGCCACCAGCTGGAGACCAGTGTTCAAGCAAATGAGCATGGGGACACTTCACATTCAAGCCACACCCCATTTGACATACACACCCTTTCCTTACTCCCAGAGGGTTAGTTGACAGAGTTGTTTTGGGATATGTAACATGTCATGTCTAGAGAAACTTGGTTCAACCACTTCTGTACTGTTGGTTAACTGGATTGTTTCCACAGTCAAATGTGTGGTTCTCCAATAAACCTCAGGTTAAATTCTGACAAGCGAAATTTCGGGTCAAGGGCTTTGTAAACCCCCGTGCATGGCTTCTCTTCAGAAAGGCTATGGAATTTCATTCTTACACCATGAACATGCTGTTGTGTGATAGGCTTTCCTTGGAGAGACACAACAGATACACACACACACACACACACACACACACACACACACACACACACACACACACCCCTATTACCCCCAAAAATGGAACCCGCAAGAGACCAAAGTAACAATATCTGTCTTGGTAAAACAGCAAGATTTTTGGGGTTACTAGCAGGAGTAGAAATGGGGGTTACTTCCAGGAGCAACACAGGCAGCTGCATCCTCAAAAGCCCACCCCAACACGAGTGACAGCTCACCAGACTCCTCACTGCAGCTGGGCTGTGCAGTCTCCTTCCCCAGAAATTTGTCCCTTTCTACCCTGCCAAAGAGGGGCCCCCGGAACCGCTCCCCCGCCCCCCTTTTCCTTCTCCCAGACTGGTGGACTTTGGTTTGTCTCCCGAGGCTCATGAGCCTCTCTCCCCCTGCAGAAAATGTTCCAGTTTGGAGGTAACTACCTACTCTTACTGGTTTTTCTAAAGCAGGTGGTTAGTTTGGTGATCCACCCTTTTCTCAGTTCTGCTAGGCTCCAGCACTGGACTCTTAGTCTCTGCTCCCATGTGAAGCTGATGGAAGGCCCTGGTCCAAGGGCCGGAAGGAGCTTGTCCTCGTCATGGTTGGTAGAGAAGGAAATCAAGTAAAGGTCAAGGGCGTGGGCGCTGTCTGTTTGCCCACCATGCCGGGCACTTCTGTGTCAACCTGGCACCAGCTAAAGCCATCCCAGAGGAGGGAACCTCAGTTAAGAGAATGCCGTCGTAAATTTGGTCTAGAGGCAAGCCTGTAGGGCATTTTCTTAGTTAGTGATTCGTGGGCGAGGACCCACCCCATTGTGGATGGTGCCACCCCTGTGCTGGTGGCCCTGGGTTCTATAAGAAAGCAGGCCGAGCAAGCCATGAGGAGCAAGCCAGTGGGCAGCACCCTCCGTGGCCTCTGCATCAGGTTGCTTCTGCCCTCTTTGTTTTTGGTGACAAACTGTTACATTGAACTGGGAGTGAAATAAACCATTTCCTCCCCAAATTGCTTTTGGTCCTGGTATTTCATCACATCTATAGAAACCCTAACTAAGATACCCACATTGTAAAAGAAAACGTGTTCATTATAGAAAAATAATAGTTAGTTTTCTTTTTTAAATTCTGTAATCTAGTCTTTGATTAAAAGTAACTATCCTGAGCATTCTGACTCTGTATTACTAACTTTGTGTTATGCAGTGAAATACCCCGGGCAACTAATTTCATCGAGAGAAAGGGCTCTTTGAATGACAGTTTTGGAGATTCAAACTCGGGTCAGGTAGGCCTCCTGGATTCTGACCTGCTGAAGGTTGCAGTATGTATCCCTGAGCAGGAACAGAGAGGATGCTCAGAGCCTCTAGAACTTTCTTAGCCACCCCTCCCTGTGCCACAACCCAAGAGCCTCTCTAGGCTCCGCCTCTTACAGGCTCCATTACCCCCAACAGCACCACTCTAGGGACCAATGCTTTACCATACAGGACCTTAGGGACATTGAACATCCAGACTGCAGCTCACCGTGCATCTTTTTCTAGACATTGCTGGATCTGACTGACCACGTAGGGTGTTTTCAGCCCGCTGTTTTCTTGTTCTCTTGTGTAGTTCTTTAGGATTCCTTTTGCTCTGGGGCTGGGGAGATGGCTTAAAGTGCTCACTGGACAGCAAGAGGACCCATGTCAACAGCCAGGTGTGGTGGCATGCTCTAACACCAGTGCTGGGTGGGGGCAGGGGCAGGAGGATTGTGGGGCGCACTGGCCAGCCTGTCCCACCAAGTCAGTGAGCTGCAGGTTCAGTGGGAGACCCTGTTTGAAAGAACCACAAGGAGAGGGGTTGAGGATGACACCTGTCATTGACTGTGCTTTGTGAATTGAAGAAATGTCCTTAACTTCTTGAAGCTTGTCTACTGAATGAGGAGCAATCCCTGTTTCACAGCTTCAGTGAGCTAATCTGTAGGATGCTCTTAGCAGAGCTCCCAGCCCAGGGCCAGCACCCAGCCCAGGGCCAGCACCCAGCCCAGGTCCAGCACCCAGCCCAGGGCCAGCATCTAGCACAGGGCAAGTACCCAGTGTGTCTTAGTTAGGGCTTCTATGACTGTGAAGAGACACCATGACCACAGCAACTCTTATAAAGGAAAACATTTAATTGGGGCTGGCTTACAGTTTTAGAGGTTTAGTCCATTATCGTCACAGCGGGAAGCAAGGCAGCATGCAGGCAGACATGGTGCTAGAGAAGGAGCTGAGAGGTCTACATCTTGACTCAAAGGCAACAGGAAGTGGACTGAGACACTGGGCAATATCTTTAGCATGGGAGACTTCAAAGCCCGCCCCCACAATGACACACTTCCTCCAATAAGGCCACACCTACTCCAATAAAGCCACACCTCCTAATAGTGCGCTCCCACTGTGGGCCAGCTTCTTTCACCACCACACAGCCCTTCAGCTGTTGTTATCTTTATTCTGGATTTTATTTGTACGAGTGTTTTTGCCTGTGTGTATGTGTGTGTGTCACATGTGTGCCTGGTGCCTTGTGAGACCAGAAGAAGGCTTCGGCCCCTGTAACTAGAGTTACAGCTGGTTGTAAGCTACAGCGTGAGTGCTGGGATTGAACGTGGCTTTTGTGCAAGAAAAACAAGTGGTCTCAGTAGCTGAGCCATCTCTCCAGCCTCTCACCTGGTTTTTATTTCCACACTTGTTATCAAGCCCAGTGGAAGCCCCTTTGCACTCTCTCCATTTAGAACAAGAGTTTTGCTTTCCTGCCCTTTTCCCAGGGAGAACAGTCTAATGCTTTTCTCTTTTCTTTCCAGCACGACTTCATCGGCTGGAAGGGCTGAGAACCATTGGTGTCACCACCAATGGCATCAACCTAGCCCGGCTGCTGCCCCAGCTCCAGAAGGCAGGGCTCAATGCTGTGAACATCAGCCTGGACACTCTGGTTCCTGCTAAGTTCGAGTTCATTGTCCGCAGAAAAGGTGATCATAGGCAGGCTGAAGTGTGGGTCTCCCCAGGGCTCTGCCACACTCTGTGTGTGTGGCAGGGTGGTCGCTTCCTCCTGGTGTCTGTATTATGGATGTACTGTTGGTTGGGCTTGGTAAGGGATTAATACCCAGGCCAGGTTGTTTGCCTGGAGACACATGGGCCAGCTGAGATGGATGTGGTTGCCCTGAAGTGTCAGGCCCAGGGTTTCACCCCTGTGCCCATCTGTACTTCAAACCTCTCTTCCTCACACCCTGCTGCAGATGTCTCCCGTGTGGTGGCTTCTCTTGACCATGGGCACTCCACCCTTTGATTTTGGGGTTGTGGGTGGTCCATAACCGAGGACTCTGGAGGTCAGAGGGGTGCTGGGAAGGCAGCTCTCCACACTCTTCATTTGGAGCAGAACCAACACCTCCTCCTTCCCTGCCAGGGTGTGCAGCCTCCTACTTGCCGCCTTCCAGAAGTTGACAAAGCTCTGGCTGAAGCTCTTCCCTCTGGAGAGGGCCGCATCATCCACGTTGACAAAATTCAAAGTGTAGTTATACAGTTTTAATGTGCTTCTTTATTTATATTTTATTTTTGTGTGTGGGTGTGTGCAGTGTGTGTTTATGTACTTGTGTGTGTGTGCAGTGTGTGTTTATGTACTTGTGGGTGTGTACAGTGTGTGTTTATGTACTTGTGGGTGTGTGTAGGTGGAGGCAAATGGACAACCTCAGCTGTTATCCTCTTGGTTGTCCATCATGAACTTTTTGAGATAGACTCTCTGCCAGGATCTGGAATACACTTCTTTAGACTAGTCTGGCTGGCTGGTCAGTGAGCCCTGGGACTTTACCTCTCTCCACCTTGCAGCTTCTGGTTTATCAGGACTCCTCTGCAACACTCAGGATTACAAGCCTGCCGCCATGTCTAGTTTTTTACATGTCCTAGGCTGGAACTCAGAGTCTCATGTTTGTGCAGGACACAGTGTCCAGCCCCTGAAGACTGCTGGAACAAAACAAAACCACATAGAACAGCCTTTGCTGATCTCATGGTATCTACTGACGTGCTGTGGGGAGGGAGAAAACTCAGAGCAGGAGAGGACCTCTGGGCTCGAGGGAGAGATGGTTCTGCTGGCCTGGTGGCAGGGAGGATTTGGATCTAAGGGACTTCCTGTGAGGAAGCTGTGACCAGAGAGCAGAAGGCTGGGAGGTAGAAGTGGGAAGGATGCTTCCAGCTGGGCGCCATCTGGCTTGTCCTCTTCCCTAGCACAAGCACCTCCCCTAGGGACACAGCCAACAGCAAGGTGCCGTCCCAGCCCACCCCCCATTATGCTCTGGCATTCACCTGCCTCTGAAGGGAATGGTTGTTGAGGACACACCAGTGAGAGAGGGGCCTACATCATATAAGGTCAGATATAAAGACTGCAGGGCCTCAGTTTCCCCATCTAGACTGTGCAAAGACTCAGCTAGATCATAGGTCAGCTAACTGTGGCCCACAGGCCACATCCAGCTCATGGCTTGTTTTTGTACCACCTTGGAGCCAGGAATGGGTTTTACAGATAACATTTGTAATCATTAATCATTGAGAACATGACCTGTGAACTCCAATTAAACAATAGTATATCCCTGAGAAAATAGACATTCCTCCATTCCATGTTATAAAAAACCATGTGAAACTGGCAGGGTAGTCAGTAAAGTAGCTATAATTCCAAGGGGCCCAGTGCCCTCTGCTGACCTCCATGGGCACCAGGGACACATGTGATGTACAGACATACATGCAGGCCCCACACACACGTGCATAAAACTAAGTAAGAAAAGACAACTGAGGAATTACACCCCAGGATGTTTTGGCCTCCACTTATGCATATACCCTACAAATACATGAACATGCACACGTACCTAAGTACCTGCAAAAAAGAAATGTAAATAAAAATAAAAGCCATATTGCTATACTTTGAAATTAGTAAGAACACGCTTCATGTCTTATACCCACATAGAATCTGGGTGCTGCCTCTTGGCTGTCGTCACCTAAAATGTTTGTTGTCTGGCCCGTGAGAGAAAACTCCTGCTGATCCTCAAGCCAGGTGGTCTTTCGGGTTTCTCCGTTCCACACAGGTCTAGTGGTTCCCTGGAGAAGCGGGGGCGTCCCTGAATCCTTGCTTCTCCCTCTCTGCAGGCTTCCACAAAGTCATGGAGGGTGTCCACAAAGCCATTGAGCTGGGTTACAAGCCTGTGAAGGTGAGGATCTGTCACCCCTGCTGACTTCTGCCTTCCTTCCTGACCCCACTGGGCCAGGGGACCGTAGGTCCATGACACCTGGCCCCTTGACAGCCCTCAGCCTGGCCAGTGGACGTGTACCTCCCACTGCTTCTTGCCAAGTTACATCTAGCCCCCACTTCTCCTCCCTCACTGGGTATAGAGAAAAGCAGTGGCCCCCATGGAATACCCCAGCTGTGAAGTAATGGGTGGCGAGAGGTACAGACGGGGTCCTGAGCAGTGCGACACCCCAAAGGTCATCCTCACGAAAGCATGCTGGAGACAGCTCTCACGGCCCAGTTGTTCTTGGTCAGGTGAACTGTGTGGTGATGCGAGGCCTGAATGAAGATGAGCTTCTGGACTTTGTGGCCTTGACAGAGCATCTTCCCCTGGATGTGCGCTTCATTGAGTACATGCCATTTGACGGTGAGCGACAAGGGTTTGCCGGGGAGGGAAGGGGTGCGTGGGCCTCAGGGCTGCACCAGGTACTGCCGATACTTGGGGTGGTGGGAGGATGGTGTGGGGTGCTCTGGGGTCACATGTGGATGTGATCTGATCCTTGGGCAGGGTCCCCTTCATCTCTGGTTCAAAAGCTCCCCCTGCCACCTGCAACCAAATACAGGCAACAAGTGGAACTTCAGGAAGATGGTTAGCTACAAGGAGATGCTGGACACCATCCAACAGCAGTGGCCAGAGCTGGAGAAGCTGCCGGAGGAGGATTCCAGCACAGCCAAGGTTAGGGAGCAGGAGGGTGGTGCCGGAGGAGGATCCAGCACAGCCAAGGTTAGGGAGCAGGAGGGTGGTGCCGGAGGAGGATCCAGCACAGCCAAGGTTAGGGAGCAGGAGGGTGGTGCTGGGGGTGGCCCTGCCTTCGTCCAGTGGCTGGGTGCTGCCGTAAATTCAGAGTGCGCCAGGGAACGGTGTGCCACAGGATGTGATGCTTAAGAGAGCAGCCTAAACCTAGATGGTAAGACTAAGTAGCATCAGAGGTCATACTCTGCAGGTAAGAGGGGCAGCACTGTCCTCTCCTCCATAGCCCTCTAGCCTGTCGTCCACAGACACCTGTATCCATAGCAACTCTTCTCCAGAGCAAGCCAGGCAAAGGCGGGGGCTCGTGGGTCACCCACCACACTGTCAGAGAGCTGCAGAATGGGGTCTTGACATCAGCAAGGGGGATCTTGGGAGCAAGGGATAGCCCGCCCTGTCCCTTCAGCTGCCCCTCTCTCCCAGGCCTTTAAGATCCCTGGCTTCCAAGGTCAGATCAGCTTCATCACGTCCATGTCAGAGCATTTCTGTGGGACCTGCAACCGGCTACGCATCACAGCTGATGGGAACCTCAAGGTGAGCATCCTGCCCCTCCCACTCACGACTTCTGTCCTGTTCGCTCACATCCACCTGAGCTCCTGATCAGAGCGGAGATGAGTGCTCAGTGGAGGGCAACTTGGGGTGACCAGTGTGAATCTGTGTTTTTGTTGGCAGTCACCTGTTTCTTCAAACTTCATTGGGTCCTCAGAGCAGCTTCTGGTTTATCAGGAATCCTCTCCAGCACTAGCACTGTCAGAGGGAAGCCAAAAGCATTGTGATCCTTTGTGTCAACTGGTCAGCCTTTTCCACGCAGCCAGGACTCACTTCTGAAACCAGCACCCATTACTTGGCTAGTTGTCTCGCTCCATGTTTGAGCTTGAGGCTGTGAAAGGCCCATTCCCTTCAGGCCATAAGAACTCATTGGCACACTCAAAAAGGTGGTGGGCAGACGCATAGTGACCCTTTATCCCGGGCACACTGTGCTGGCGGTGAGGATGGTGGGCCTTGAAGAATGGCTGCAATCTGGACTCATACTCCTGAAATCCGGTCTGGAGAGTCCACACTGTGAGAGCAGTGACTCAGAACATGTGACTCAGACTGTAGGGAGCAAGGTGAAGTTTCTGAGCAAGAGGGAGGCCTGATCCCCATCTTTGTTGGATTTGAACTTAAACTTATTAAGTGGATATTGAGCAATGATTAAGATATATAAATATGTGAGGGTAAAGGTGTGAGATCGTGCTGTAGAGACAGCTCAGTGATGTGTGGGGTGATGGTGTGGTCGTGCTGAGGATACGCTCAGTGAATGTGTGGGGTGACAGTGTAAGGTCATGCTGAGGAGACGCTCAGTGGATGTGTAGGGTGACGGTGTGGTCCTGCTGAGGAGATGGCTCAGCAAAAAGGTACTTGCTATACAATCATGGAGACCCATCCAGCTCCCATGTAAAGAGCCAAGCATGACCACACTGTTTTAATCCCAGTGCCAGGGAAATGGAGAAAAGAGACTCTGGAGCTCACTGGCCATCTGGTCTAGCTAAGGTGCTGAAATCTAGGTCAATGAGAGACCATGTCTCAAAAACTAAGATGGAGGTTGGTTGAGGAAGATACCTGATGTTGACCTTTGGCCTCCATGCATGTGCACACACATGCACACAGAGAGGCACATACCCACACATATGCATACACATATGTGCACATGGACACACACACACACACACACACACACACACACACACACACACACACACACACCTATACCTATATACCGGAAACATAGACACATATATACAAAAGAAAAAAAATATGGGACAAAAGAATCAAGGAGCTTTGTGGTGTGTGTAGAGGAGGAGGGGAAATGTGTGGGGTGGCTGCTGGGCCTGGAATTTTAGGATTGGGGTTGCAGCTGCAGGTTTTTGGTCGGCCATTTGAATACAGAAAGAAGTATACACTGGGTTGTTGAAAATGGGGCCTTTTCCTGGTGCCAGAAATTCCTGGCAATGGGGGTGGCATCTGTCCATCAAGGTTTTATGGGAAATGTATGGAAGGTGTCTAAAGAGAGTGGGATGGCTACTTAGAGTGAGAGGTAGGGTTCAAGGAACTAACTAGGGACATGGAGGCATTCTGAGGAGCAACAGCCAACAGCTGGCTCATGGAGGTGGGAGATGGAGGAAGTGATGTCACTGAGGGCCAGTGAGGCTGCAGCCTTGAGGGGAGAGGGTTGGAACTTTAGCTGTGGAGGGTAGCAGCTGCTGCCAGAGAGGAGGGAAGAAGGAGGAGAAGGCAGGGCTTCCCCCTCCTCTCTCCTGATCTCCAGGCAGAAGCCAGCCCAGAAGCCCACAAGCAGAAGTCTATGGAGGAATTAACTAGCGTCAGGGAAGGGCGGAGAGGGTTCTGGGCCCAGTGTTGTGGGAAGGGGGAATGCCTATCACAGTGAAGAAGCTGGACCTGCGTCAGTCTCCAGAGCCCGGCCCTTTGCTGGCTTTTCAGATGCTCTTCTGTGTCTGCACACACAGCTGACACATAGGTTCTGTGGCAGTGTGGTGGTTGGTTTCTGCACCACCTTATCCATTCTTAGGACCAGCTTCTCACATAGCTAGGGGACGCTGAGCTAAGACTGAGTGGCCACAGATGTCATCTCCAGCCAGGTGTGGTACTCACACCTGTCACCTCAGAACAGTCAAATGGAGGAGGGAGTTCCTGTCAGTTCCCGGCCATCCTGGGTGACACACCCTAGCTAAGAACCGAGTTTCTGTCTCGCAAACAGACAAAAGCCCCAAAGCTGTCCTCTCCAACCACATTCAGCTGCTCAGCTACCAAGCAGGGACGGAGGACTAAAGTGGGTAGTGGGTGGTAGTGTCCACACGGGAAGGAACCAGGAAAGGCTGATGGGAAACGAGGTATGTGTACCACCTCCAGGGTACTCGGCCCCATTCACTGGGGTCCACGCTCATGGTGATAGAGGTGTCTCCATCAGATATCTCAGAAAGTAACAGCAGCTCTGGATTCTTATGTTCTCTCTTCATGCCTGTTTAATTCTCAGTATACGCTGTTCTCTCTGAAAGGAGTATGGCTAAGCCCCACACAGAAGTCTGACTTTGCCTTTGCTTGTCTAGCCTTTCTGGCCCCTCCATCCAGTCCCTTCGGCCCCTCGTGGCCCTGGGTCCTGCCTCAAGTGTGAGCCTGCTGTGGGAGACATGAGCATTGATGCTCAGCTCAGTGGGGCTGGTGACTTACAAGTTATTCTCTCGTCTGCAACAGGTCTGCCTCTTCGGGAACTCCGAGGTGTCCCTGCGGGACCACCTGCGTGCCGGGGCCTCTGAGGAGGAGCTTCTGAGAATCATTGGGGCAGCCGTGGGTAGGAAGAAGCGGCAACATGCAGGTAAGGGCTGGGCGGGAGTGGGCGGGGCTGAGTGGGAGTGGGCGGGGCTGGGCGGGGCTGGGCGGGGTTAGTGCGAGGAAGTGTGAAGGAGAGGGTGGAGGATAAAGCAAGCCTGGGCCAAGGTGCCCAGTTCAGTGTCCTTCTGGCCACTGGCCATTCCTATTGGAACTTTGGACTTGGGGCATGGTGGCTGTTCTTTGAGGAAATTGACATAGCATAGGCTACACAGGGGGACCCCAATATTCTCCAGGACTGTTTTATCAGGCTAAGAGATACCACTGGCTCCCTGGATTCCCACGCGTTCCTTGTCTTTGGGACTGAGGGAGGCAGTACCAGGTCCCTGGGCATTCCTAGAGTGTTCTCGAGGCTCCACCTTGGGTGGCCTTGCAGCGATGTGTGAGGCTTTTGTCAGAAGGCCTGTGGCTGTGCACAGGCCTTTGGCTCATCCATCCATCCGTGTTTCAGTGAAGTCTCCTTCTCTCTCCTCCCCTGCCTTCCTCTGCTCATCCTTCCCTCACACCAGGCATGTTCAATATTGCCCAGATGAAGAACCGGCCCATGATCCTCATCGGTGGGTGACTATCAGTACGTAACTACTCACCCTTGTCACTTGGGGGGTCCTGTGGGGTGGGTGGGATCCCCTCTGTGAGACAACCCCTGCTCTGCCCCTAATATTCTTCCCTTATTTTTAAATGTCTTCTTTCATCTTTTCTTAAACCTTCCATATCTGCTCTCTCTTCCCTCCCCACAGCAAACCTTCTGTCTCCAGACTATGGAGTGGCCCTTCTCCCTCTCTCAAAATCAGGGCAGGGGCTTCTACAGACCTGATACTCATGGAGTTAGCTCTCCTTGGAGAGTAGAGCTCCTGGTTAAAATAGAGAGTTTCTCCTCGCCTGTGGGATCCCCCAGCTGGACGTAGATGTCCCTTCTCTGCCACGTGGAGCCACCTGTACATATGTGTGGCCCATCAGTTGTCTTGGTCAGGCATAAGTTGAGGCAGCTCTCTGAACACCAAGATTTGACCTTTCCCTGTTCCTTAACTCCAGGGACTGTGCACAGGAGAATCTCAAGTGTTTGGTGCTTCTTCAAGTGAAAATACCACTTTATAAAGCTCCAGGTAGTCTAGGAGGGCCTGCTGCTCTGTTCAGTGTCCAGGTGGCAGCAGATGAAGCCTGGACCCCCTAGGACGCACCCTGATCCAGGCCTTCGGAATTAGCACATTGGAACTGAAAAAGCACTAAGAAACTTGAAGGAAAGTTCCTTCTTTCAGAGTTTGGAGCAGAATGGACACAGAGGTCCAGAGCAAAGCAGATTCCATGGGCCAGAGATAGCCCAGTGACCACCTCAACACACCGGCCACCCAGAGCAGAAGAGGCAGATGGCAAAGAGGCATTTCACTGGGGAAGGGACCTTAGTCACCTCTCCCCCACCTATCCCCACAGCACTGGGGGTCTTGGCCTAGGTGTATACATCTTCACAGCAAAGAATGGGGATGTCTTGATGGCCTTCCCTCCAACAGACAAGGGTGGGACTTGGTGTGATGGAAAGAGAGAAGCTAGGGACGCCTTTAGCTTCATGAGGACTCCCTTATGTGAAGTGTATGGAGAGACTAGACTGGCCTGGTTTTCACAAAACAAGAGTTGCCTCGGTCAGGGTCTCTCCGACCTTCAGGAGCCTGTGAACCACTCAGGGACCCTACCCCTGAGGTCCCTGAGTTGGTAGGACCATGCTGAAAGTACCCACTCCTTGTGAGTTCTCAGCAGCTGCTGGTGTCAGGTGCTGACAATGGTCTTTGTTCTTTGAGGAACAGCAGCCCTAAGGTTTTCTGGACATGGAACCAGTCTGTCAATTGATGGCCTTGTAGGGACTTGACATTGTTTAAGTAGATGAACTGTTTGCTAGTGTCTTACTCCTCAGAATGACATTGCTGTTCCTTCTCCACTGGTAGTATTAAGGTAAAAATACCTGTGATTGGTAGTTCAGGGTGAGATCCAGCTAGTTTTAGCAAAATGAATGGACATCAAAAGGCTGTTTGATCCAGGCATCATTCTTCAGGCCCAAGGTATGTCATAGAAAAACTTTGGGGACCAAGTTCCGAAGCACAGGGGACCTGGAAGTGACCTTGCACCACCACTGCCTGAGGAGAACAAATGGAAACTGGGCCCCCTCTGTTTGCTTCCTTCTCTGTCTGTTTAACAGCTCTGGCTCTCCAGACCAGGCTGGCCTCGAACTCACAGAGATCCGCCTGCCTCTGCGGGGATTAAGGCTTGCCCTGGCTCCACTTTCGTTCTCCCTTCTCCCTGGTGTGAATGAGAACTCCTGGTGGGACAGCGAGGGGGCAGGAGACAGGTGGAGACAGGACTCGTTTGGAGACTCAGTCTCTTCTCTTTCCTTTGTGCCTTTCAGGGTTGCCTTGGATGCTTCGAGATTCCCCACCAGCTAGTTGGAGCACTCTCTCCCGGGATCCCCCCCATGTTCGAAATCTGAGTGTCAGAGAGAATCTCTCTGACCAGATGGCAACTTTGTGGAAAAGACTCCGTGTCCCCATGGCCCTTCCTCTGTCTCAACAGTGCCTGGGGTCCGGCTCCCCTCAGAGACACTACAGCTGCTACCCAGACTCTGACACTCACTCAAAGTGCCTTAGCATAGGGTCCCAGGACCCTGCTGTCCCCTCAGGACCAGGGCTGACTTCAACTCAGCTAACTCATGTGGATTCAGAAGGACGGGCAGCTATGGTAGATGTGGGCGGGAAGCCAGACACAGAGCGGGTGGCTGTGGCCTCTGCCGTGGTCCTTCTTGGACCTGTGGCCTTCAGGCTTGTCCAGCAGAACCAGCTGAAGAAGGGCGATGCTCTGGCAGTGGCCCAGCTGGCTGGAGTCCAGGCAGCCAAGCTAACTAGTCAGCTGATCCCCCTGTGCCACCACGTGGCCCTGAGCCATGTGCAGGTACAGCTGGAGCTGGACAGCACGCGCCACGCCGTGCTGATCCAGGCATCCTGCCGGGCCCGAGGCCCCACTGGGGTAGAGATGGAGGCACTGACCTCAGCTGCCATGGCTGCCCTTACCCTGTATGACATGTGCAAGGCAGTCAGTAGGGACATCGTGGTGGCAGAGGTGAAGCTCATCAGTAAGACTGGAGGTCAGCGGGGGGACTTCCATCGGGCTTAAGAGTGCCTCACTCACCCCAATCATGTCTCCCAAGGGGATGCAATTTGGGTGGAGGAAAAGATGTCACATTCCTCTTAATCTAGTCACTATGACCTAGGATCACCCTGTCTCTTTACCACTGATATTTATTATAACCCGTGAGGTGTCCTCAACATGAAGACACCTCTGGCCTTGACACCTTCCAGGACTCAGGACTCCAGCGGTGGAAGGTTTGATACGGGATACCCCCACGTCATGTCATATTACTTGGCCTGTTTCAGATGGACAGCTTCAGGCAGCCCTTCTCATTTAGGGTTCTCTCTTCTCTTCCCTGGGGAGATAATAAGGGCTCATTAAGCAGAGGAACCCACTTTGAGGAAGGAAAAACACAGCTCCCTAAAGAATGTATCAGAGGGTCCCCACTCCCTGGCCTCCGGCCCTGCTCCAACAGGATGAACACTTACGGACTACAACCCCAAGGACTTGTGCCAACCTTACGCACACCTGGGTCTGCTTACTGCGGTCTGCCCACACCTCTCTACTCTGGCACACATCAGGGAAAGAAGAGCTGAAGGTGACCTTCACCCTCACAATGCACAAATAAAGCCACGATGCCAGCTTTGGAGATGAGGCACGAGGACTCTTGTCTGTGAAAAGAGCACAAGCTGCTAAGTTTTACCCATCAGCCCCATCCCAAGACACTCCCTGCAGGGGGTGGGTGGGAAGAGGAACCCTAGGAAGGAAGGCCAAGGGGCTTATTCTCTGGACTCCCCCAGGGAGACCGTGAGAAATGCAGGTGTGGCCTGAGGCAGTGTGACAGATGGGAGGCTGGGGCTCAGCTACATGGCCAACTCTTGGAGAGTAGGCTTGTGAATTAGATAGAAGCTCCTAGTTTATGTACCCCAAACAATGGCCTAGCATGCAGGGTTATCAAAGCTGGGTGGCTTCTTAGGTCTGTCTGCAGTGGTGCCCCTGGCCTGGCATTCCCTCTGCCTTGTACAGAGGTGTGGTGACAAATGTCTAACAAATGTTCCCAACTCAAGCATCCACGGAACCTCAGTTGGCTTGGAACATTCCAGAAAATGTACATTGGCACTCATAGAACTGGTAGGAACTAGGTCCAGCCCACCACTGGCCCTGCCCACCACTGGCCCTGCCCACCACTGACCCTGCCCACCACTGACTCAGCCCACCACTGACCCAGCCCACCACTGACACAGCCCACCACTGACCCTGCCCACCACTGACCCTGCCCACCACTGACCCAGCCCACCACTGACCCAGCCCACCACTGACCCTGCCCACCACTGACCCAGCCCACAACTGACCCAGCCCACCACTGACACAGCCCACCACTGACTCAGCCCACCACTGACCCAGCCCACCACTGACACAGCCCACCACTGACCCTGCCCACCACTGGCCCTGCCTACCACTGACCCTGCCCACCACTGACCCTGCCCACCACTGGCCCTGCCTACCACTGACCCTGCCCACCACTGACACAGCCCACCACTGACCCTGCCCACCACTGGCCCTGCCCACCACTGACACAGCCCACCACTGGCCCAGCCCATCACTGGCCCAGCCCACAACTGGCCCTGTCCACCACTGGCCCTGCCTACCACTGGCCCTGTCCACCACTGGCCCAGCCCACAACTGGCCCTGCCCACTCAGGCACAACCCAAGTCCACATGGGAAGAAGATAAGTTTATAGGCAGGCTGGGGGTGGGGATGAATTTAATAGTTTTTAGTATTACAATATATTCTTATAAAAGGGTGCGGGTAAAAAGGACACTGTAGAGTTCTGTACATATGAACCTTATTTGTCTTCGGCAGCAGCTGTTGAGAGTGGCCTTGGCATGAAGGTTGGCAGATGTCCCAGGGAGATGGTCACAGCTCCCAAGTTGGTGTCAATAGGAGTGGATGTGAAGACCCCATGCCTATCTCCACCTACCTGGAGAGTTTTGTCCTTCCTCCCCAGACAAACTTCCGTCTTGGGAAGGGAATGGCCTCTGCTGAGAAGGGTGTGTTGGCTGGACTACGAATCTTACATTGTGCACAAAGTTAATTGGAGCAGTTGACCCACAGGGGCAAGACAGGTGGGAAGGCACTGGGGTAGACTTCGTTTAACGTTGAGGACCAGCCTGTCCACCTCCACGGCACCAGTCACTTCCTGCTGAGCCACTCACAATGGTCCGTACTCCAAGGCACTGTTGAAATCTGGTTACAAAGACATATAGCACCAGAGCCACTGGCCAGATTTGGAAAATAATAAATAGAGAAGGCAAAATTCTTTGGGGTGAGAAGGCTGGGCTCTGGAGAGATGCCAAATGGCTTTTCTGAGGATCTGTTGTGTTCCTTCAAGAACTTCCATCTTCCTTGTCTTTCCTAGTGCATGTCCAGTCTTGGTGGTGTTTGGGAAGGCCGGAACACAGCATGCCTGTCTCCTGCCCCTAGCATGTTAGGCCGACAGCCTGGGCAGTTTGGAAGATGGGAAGATGTCCAGCTCCGGCCTCTCCATTCTTAATAGCTTGCTGGGGAGTGAGGCAGTAGCCACCTTCTTAGAAGCCCTTTTGCCCTCTTAGGCTGGCTTCTTCCCACTCTGTCTACTGGCCTGTCTTCTACTTGCTGAGATGCCTCTCAAGCCCCTGTGCATGCCCAGCTTAACGCCATGTTTCTCCTCCCCACAGCTACTATGGCCCCACCCACTAGGAATCTCATGTAGAAAAACAGAAGGTGGACAGTTACAGGAGTGAGCATCCACGGCCACTGGCAATGACCCTGAGCCAGGCGGCTAGAGGAGAAGAGCCAGGGGCTGGTGGGTGGTACTCAGGCAAGATTGGTCTCAGGATGGGAGGGGACAGAGGTGCACTAGATAATAAGAACCTTCATGGAGTTGATCTTACCCTGCTCCATTTAGAACATTTGCCTAGATATAGTAGTGCTGCCACCCATACCATCAACAACAACTGAAGATGGGCGGAACAGAAGATGAGTGAACAGGAGGAGGGCCAGGATGGTCCCATGCAAGTCAGGCTGAGGAACCAAACTGAGCACAGATGCAAGAGCAAGCCCTGACGTGAGCATCCTACACAAATTTTCCTTCCTCCATCCTCATCTCAGCTTTTCCTGCCTGCTCTTCTCAGCCCCATCTGGCTACATGTCTCCCTCAGAATGACAGTCAAACGTGGAGGGTGGGTCTAGGCCTCCGGAACAATTCCCAAAGCCAGCTGCAGCCAAGTACATGGAGCTCCGCTGTGACCTCAGATGGAGACTGAGAGGGATGGAAGGGGTCGGTCAGCTGAGTGGAATGGTAGATCCCCAGGAGTGACACATTTGAGTGTTGTCCTCTGGTGAGGAACTGCTGGGAACTCAGGTCACTGTCTCTCCAGGACAGTGGTCAGGTTGCATTGGGGTTTGCTTTGGGGTCCCTATGCCTGAGCCTGGTGAGGTGATGAAGGGAGTCTTTCTTGGACACCCCTCCTTACCAGAGCCATACTGTAAGCTGGCGGTGGGCCAGAGTTCTGCAATCCAGAGAAGAATTTGGGGACAGGAGATTTAGTAGATGGGATGAAGGTGACCACGGGGAGAGGAGAGGCCCCAGGACTTGCTCTAGGAAAAAGGCAGATAACTCACTTGCTGGCTCTGGTCCCTTTCTACATGTGTTCTTCTGGAGCATGCTAGAGCATATCTCGATAGAACACATAAGGCCCCTCATTTCCGTCTCAGATCCATGTTCCATTGAGCTGTCTTTTCAGAGAGCCACCTAGAGTCCCTACTGTTGGTTCTTGGGTCCCACTCCACCACCACACACTGTTCAAGAGGTCTGAAAAGGAATGTGGTCTCCTGGATTTTGAACATCTCTGTGCCAACATGAGGTGTGGAGAACAGTGTTCTCTGGCCCGGGATTTCCTGGCCAAAGCCCAGGGCCCGCCAGGGATGTCCATGCTAGTCTTAGAGAATGATGGCCAGGAGAGGGAGGGGCAGAGAGAGAGACAGGATGTGAATGCATAATGTAAAGGGGAGATGAGACACGGCCCTCTGTCAGTGTGGGAGACACCCGGTCTAGCCACACACAGCCCCTGGGACCCAGCCCAGGGCTCCCAAAACCAGCTTTCCAAACCACTGGAGTCATTGCTGCGTCTGTTCAAATCATCTCCCCTGCTCCCTGTCTCCAGGCCTGCCGCCATGTGGCCAGTCCCCAGCCCCCAAGTCAATGCTTTAGCCTGCTTATCGCCCTCTCACGGGTGACCTCTGGGGCCTGAGTCCCTCCTCGCTTGCGGTTGCGCTTAAACTTGCTCAAGTCCTTGTCAAAAACTTCTCCTGAGCGCAAGGCCGACACCAGGTCATCGAACTCTCCACTCTCCTCCAGGGTGCCACCGGCCAGGACCTTCCGCTGCCTCTGCCACCTTTCCTTCTCACGCTGCTCCTTCAACTGAGAGTGGAAAGGAGGCAACTGAAGGACACAAGCCCGCGTCCTGCAGCCCTCTGCATCCTGGGTGCTCTCCCAGCCTAAGCCTACCCTACCCTGGACACGTTTCACCTGCCAGGGACCACTCTGCTCCCCCCTCCCCCACCTTACATGTCTTTCTCCCCCCGAAGGAGATGTCTCTCTCTTCTGGGGCTAACAGCAGCCCCTAACATGCCTATTTGATCTCACAAGTCCAAGCAGTATCCCCTTCACACCCGCCTCTGCCACATCCTGTCCCCAGCCAGGCGCAGCCCTCACCATGGATTCCATGCGTGCCCTCCGCTCCTCCTCCTCCTTCCTCCTCCTCATGGCCTCCAGGTCCTGCCTGGCCTCCAAGAAGGCCTGCAAGAAGGTATCAAAGATGCCGAAGAACTCATCCGGCTGCATCTTACTCTCTTGCTCCCCGAAGTGTGTCAGTGCCTTGGCAAACTGTAAAGACACGGGTAGAAGCATGGTAAGCCAAGCCTGCAGTCGGCTAGCTCCCAACTGAGCCCAGTCCAGGCTAGGGGGTTGTAGGCATGGCACAGATGGCTCAGACCCCAGGGTTCACCTGTGAATGTTTCAATCCAAAATTCACTAGTGATCCATTCTCTGTCCCTACCCTGTTATTCCCCACAAAAAACCACGAGGCTGACTTCTGGGGAGGCGGGTTGAGACTACCTGATAGTCTACCTTCGCCCCCCCTCTGGGTCTCTTATATTGTAGGTGTGAGACCAGGAGACGGTGACTTGGGGAAGACTTATCTAAGGTCAGGCGCTGTATGGCTCGATTGGAAAGGGCCCTCACAGGCCAGCTAATCACTGGGTGACTTAGCCCCTCTGTGACTCAACTTCTTCACCTGTAAAATGGGGATCAGCTTCATGGTATCATTGTGACAGTTAAGTGGGGTGACAGATGGAAGCCACCAGCTCTGTGGACATGAAGCAGGTACCACTCTGACTTTGTCTGAGCATTGTGTTCTCTTACCCCGCTCACATAGTATCATCCAGGAAACATGTCCCAATGAGACCCGGTTTCAAAAACTAAAGTGGTCGGCTCCTGAGGAAAAGACCCCTGAGGTTGTCCTCTGGTCTCCACATGCATGTGTACAAAAGCACACACACAAACATACACACACATATACACAAAAATAAAATTTAAAATGATGCTTATGGTGCCTGGATACCTACGAAGTGCAGCCTGATCTCTTCAGTCTGGGGTTGTCATTGCCTTGGAGGAGAGAGGGGAGAGGAATTCCTAGGCTCTGAGGCGCTGGGTTTGTCCCTGTCCGTGGTAGGACCAGGTGACAACACCAGTCCTGGAAGAGATGAGCTGAGGACCAGTGGGGGTGCTGGGCCACCTTTACCTTGTCCCTGGCCTCATTGAGCTGGTCCTCCAGCTCTGAGAAACTGAAGCTGGACACTGTGATGAAGTCACTCATGACAGGGACAAACTTGTCATTGGGGTCCCGTGGCTGGTGTCTTTGATATTCCAACTCCTGGGAAGGGAGGATAAAGCATGATTTAGACAGGCGGAGACCAGGGGCCACCATATGCTCCTCATTAGCCACAGGACATCACACATGCCTTTGGAAAAGATGACACCTGGGTTCACAATTCTAAAGGTAATATCGTCTTTAAGAGCTGTTGGTCTGTACAGCTATTCACATCCTTCCCTAACCCATCACCACCGTTGTCCTTTCATTAACGGCTTTTGAATTAAGTATGACCAGGGCCAAGCAGCATTGTCTGGGAAATCTTGCTGCTAGGCTATGGTCCACACTCTAAGGAGCACTTTCCAGGACCATCAAAATGGAAGCTGTCACCCATGGTAGCAACAGAGGCTCTCTAATTCTTAACTTCAACTTGAATCAATTCTCCTCTTACCCTCCTTCTTCCTTCATGGGAATTCTGGGAAAAGTCTCTAGTTCCCAAGTGTGAGGGACAAAGAGTTGAAGATGTCCCAGAGAGTGCATCAGCTATGAAGCCATGAGAACAGCAATGGTGGTAACATGACCAGAGACCCAGTGCTGGGATCCAGGGTCTGTGTCTTCTCAATATTCCTGTATGAGATCCTAACCCCTAAGGCAAAGCAAGGAGGTGGGACCTCACAGGTGCACCCAAACGTCTGACACGATGCTGTTATCTACGAAGTGCACCCTTGAGAAGTACACAACTGAGTTATGAAAAGATAATCATAAAAAATTTCATAACGTCTGAAGTTTGTGGTTTTGTGTCAGGCCCCGTTCAAAGCTCTCCTGAGGAACATGTGGCCTACGGGTCATGGGTTGGACACTCCTGTCAAGTGAAGAGGTCATAGGTCAGAATCTTTGTATAGTGGCCCTATACAAGAGCCCCAGGGGAGTGTGTCCTTTCTAGCAGGTGAGGACACAGTGAGAAGTCCCATCTACAAGGACCAGGCTCTCACTAGACATCAGACCTGCTAGCACCTTGATCTTGAATGGCCTACCCTGCCAAATTACAAGAGGTAAATGTCTTTTGCTTATAAAAGCCACACCATTGATGGATTTGTTTAGCCACCTCAGGGACTAAAATACCAGAATTCTCCTCAGTGAGTGAATGAGCCCTCAGAGCCCCCGCTAGTCCATGCATGAAGGGAAAAGATGTAAGGCAGGATCTCTATGGGGATGGCGGTCCCACAGCCACACTGCTGTATGCCTCCTGTAGCCAGCTCAGCCTCTGCATTGACTATGATCAAACATGAGCATGTGACAGTCCTAGGGTTCAGTCTGTCATGTGGACATCCCCCTGCTCAGTGACATAGAGACAGTCTCAAACAGACAGCCCTTCTGTAAGGGTCTAAATGCCTAAATCCCCAAGAAGGTGGATCGCTTTTTCCTGAAGGCTCTGTCCACTGTGAGGCTGTCCTACCTCCCCCTGCCTCCCCCCCTCCCCCGGCTGCCCTGGGTCATCTAAGTGCATCCCACAGGGCTTCTGCTGCTTGAGATGTGGGGGCGGGGGCACTGGATCCAGTGATGGCAGCCATGGCTTCTCCGTGGGAAGCCTCCACTGGGACCCAGCAGGCTCACTTACCACCTCCACTGCTCGCAGGCCCCTCTTGAGATTGCCCACCTCCTTCTCCAGCTCTGCCAAGCTGTGGGGAGACAGGGGGAGGGAAGACACCCGTCAGTGGGGAGATGCGGGAGGGAAGACACCTGTCAGCTCTGGATGTGAGGAGCCAAGGATGGTTCGGGGAAAGGGCAGCTTGAAGCATGGTGGCCTTGCATCCCAGCCCTCTTAGGCCCCTGAAGATCACCGCCCTATGTGCCTGTTGGTGTCTATAAGTGTCAGGGTGAAAGCTCTGCTCCGTGGATCCTTACAGATGCTGTGTGTGTGTGTGTGTGTGTGTGTGTGTGTGTGTGTGTGTGTGTGTGTGCAGGTGCATGTGTGTGCATGCACACACATGTGGAAGTCAGCAGACAACTTCAGCCGTCTCTTAGGAGCTATCTACCTGTTTTGTTTGTTTGTCTGTCTGTCTGTCTGTCTGTCTGTCTGCTTGGGTTCTAGGTCTGGCTCTCAGACCCTCATACCACTTGCTGCACTATCTCCCAAGCGCTGTCAGAAGCTTTCTCACAGTAGCGTCTGGCTTGGGATTATTTATTTTCATTGCCACTGGGCAGTGCTCACCATCGTCTAGCAGGTGTCTCTCCACAGCCCCGTGCTGATGGTGATTAGCGGCGGAGCTCTGGAGAGATACTTTTGATTTGATGAGGTCAGTCCTGAGGGTGGGGGCTCTGAGATGGCACAGTGGCTCCCTGTTACTTGTCCTAGCCTGGCATGCCTCTGCCACACTGTAGTGTGCCAGTGGACTACCAATCCTCCAGAGTCATGTGTCAAACACACTTCAGATTTTTATAGTTGCCAAGTCACAGAATATCTCACACACAGTGGCACTGGATACCTGTTAGCTTTAGCATGTCTGGCTTCCCCAGATCACAGATTAAGTCTGACAGCCTTAGCAGATGCTGTGGATGCCCTGCCCATTACAGTTTAAAGTGCCCATTCTTCCAACCAACCGGGCTTAAAATATACGTGCTTATTTTAAAATTTATTTTATATATGTGAGTGTTTCACCTACATATAAGTGTGTATCCCATGTGTGCCTGGTACCTGAAGAGGCCAGAAGAGGGTATTGGGGCATTCAGTTCCTCTGGAACTGAAGTTATAGATGGTTGTGAGCTACCATGTGGGTGCTGGGATTTGAACTGGGGTCCTCTGGAATAACTGGCAGTGCTGTTAACCACTGAGCCATCTCTCCAGTCCCCAGCTGAGTGTTCTTTATTCTGGGTCAGCCCCCTCTGCCTGTTAGAGTTATGTTTACACCCCAGGACACTTAGCCAGTGTGCTGCATGACTAACCGACTCCTCCCCGCACCATGGGATAAGCATAGAGGGTGTTCTATTCTGTACTGTTTCCATGTCAGACTTAAGTTCCATTTGCCCCCAGTGTAACTGGCTCAGTAATGCTTCTGTTAGTCATTCTTTCTACACATGGCTTACTTCATTCTTCTGGTGTTTTCCAGAATCACCTCTGAAATAAGATGATTTGCACCAGCCAGCTGTCTCTGTCTGGGTCTTCTAAAAGCATACCCTGAGGCCCTGCCCACTCCCAGTGTCCCCTCAAGTGAGGGGCGCCAGCTAGTGTGGCCACAGGCGAAGAAAGCATGGAGAGACCACTTACTTGACTTTGGCGGCTTCTGATAGGTGCCGCAGCTCCGAGGGCATGTTCAGGATGTCGGGGAAGTGCTTCTCCAGGATCATGATCAGGTAATGAAGCAGAGAGATGTTCCTGTGGATGACAGTCACATCAGGAGAGGGGGCTGATGAAACCAGACAGAGTGTGATGAGAGGAAGAAACGAAGAGTGGTTTGGACAGATGGCAGTTTGTCCATCTGCTCTTCCAGAGGACCTCAGTTTGGTCCCGAGCGTCCACAAACGCCTGCAACTCCAGTGCCAGGGGACCCAGTGCCCTCTGCTGGCCCCACAGGCACACACACGCGCGCACACACACACACACACACACACAGACATAGACATACACACACACAGACACAGACATATACACACACAGACACAGACATACACACACACGCGCGCGCACACACACACACACAGACATACACACACAGACACACACACAGACATAGACATACACACACACACACACAGACATACACACACAGACATACACACACACAGACACACATACACACACACACACAGACATACACACACACAGACACAGACATACACACAGACATACACACACACAGACATAGACATACACACACACACACACACACACACACACACGCACACGCACACACACATGCACACATACCCCACCCCACACTAAAACAATTCTTCAAAATATTTTTAAAATGGACAAGGCAGCTCGAATGCAGAGATAGAAGAGGGCTAGAGAGGGGTAGGGAGACATCAGGACGGAGTGAGACAGGCCGAGGAGGCCCGCGAGTCCCCACCTGTCAATGCTGGACTTCGTGTCAGCAATCTTGTTGAGACTGGCTACCCGGAACCCGTAGGCACCCCCACGCTGCCCCTTGTTCATGAAGTTACCAATGGCAAGGACCACCTCCAGCATCTGCTTCAGGCGCTTGCTGAGGGTCAGCTCCCGGGAGGCCAGCAGGATGGCTGGGAGAAGAGAGACAGTTCAGGATGCTGCACAGACTGAGCCAGGGCAGCAGGGCTCCTGGCTTCTCAGGAGGACTATGGAAGGAGCGACCTTTTCAACTCTTGGGTAGAGACTACCTGTTCTCTTCAGGACCTTCCATTTCTCTTCCCCCCGCCAGGACAAAGCTACCCTGCCCTCAGAGTAGACTACCCCTAGAATGATCTGGACTGTCTTATCATGCACATAAAGATTATTATACATTTTAATGAATACATATTTGAATATGGCAGTTTATTTTTCTAGACCTAACAGATTTTGTGCTTCCTGGAGCTCTGACACATTTTAAAATTCTGTATTGTATATGTGCATGTATCTTCATGTGGATGAGCATGTGTATGTATTCATGTGCAGGTATGTGCACATCAGATGTGGAGGTCACAGGTCAACCTCAGGGACCATCCTCAGATAACACCTTGGGTTCTGAGAGAGCGGTAGGAAGACCAAACCATCTGGTGGTCTCTGGCTACGCAGACAGGACATTCCTGAAGATGCTTGTTATGAAAATAAAACAAAAGCCCTTGGGGCTTGGAAGGTGATGCCCCAGTGGGTGGGAGCACTTGTTATGAAAGCAAGAGGATCTGAGTTCAAGTCCTCAGCACCCACAAAAAAAGCCAGGCATAACCATGCATAGGGCTGTAACCCCAGTGCTGGAGAAAGAGGGGAGCCACAGACAAGAGAATCCCAGGAGCTAGCCCAAACAAGCTTCAGGTACAGAGAGACTGTCTCAAAAGCCAAAATAGAGAGAGATGGACATCTGATATCTTCCTGTGGCCTCTGCATGCATGCACATGGGTGTGCATTGTACACACGTGTGCACATGCCACACACAGAACAAGCACAAACACCACATAAAAAGGAAAACCCCAGGCCAAATGTTTGCAGAAGTTGTCAGTCAGTTAAAAAAAAAATGTAACAGTGAAGAAGATATTATAAAAATGAGAAGTGAGGGTTTTCCACACAGTCTTTAGATCACACGTATGCACATTCTATGAGTTAACACCCCCTGCTATTTATGAGTTTGAAGACTGTCAGGCTATGTCTCAAAGGGGCGTGGGGCTTGGCTGAAGAAATGGCTCGGCTGTGAAGGCTAAAGCTTGCAACCAAAGGACACGAGGGGTACAGGGCTTGGAGACCTTCAGTTTCTCAACCTGGGTTGATTACATGGCCAGGATGGTGATCACACCCCAACTGCCCAGTGCAAACAGCTGTAATAATTTGTAGGTTCCTCTGTGTATGTGTCATATTTCAGTAAAAAGTTTATTTTCAAAAAAGCAAATAAAATGTGTGGTGGTGGCTCACGCCTTTAATTGCAGCACTAGGGAGGCAGAGTCAGGCAGATCTTCGAGGCCAGCCTGGTCTACACAGTGAGTTCCAGGACAGCCAGGGCTACACAGAGAAACCCTGTCTTGATAAACAGAAAAAGAAAACTTACTTGCAAAAATCCTCAGCCACTTATATGACTAGGGAGAGTTTTCTAAGGTTGGTGGACTGTTTGAAAAATCTACAAAGGAATATCCTTTAAAAATGCTAAAAATGTTGGCAAAACAGAAAATGATCAGAGTTGAAAGGAAATCAGAGGAGATGAGAAAACTCCCGTCTGTGATGCTGACATTTTAGAGGTATTCACAAGAATAATACGTTCATGAATACATTCATAAGAATATTGCATTTGCAGTCACATTCATCCAGGCTATATTTAGTGAATCTACTTGTAATGAGAATTGGTAAATTTAGTATACTCAGCAATGAATGTATTCATAGGGAGAATATATTCAAAACAGAATTGGGAAATTTGTCAAACTTGGTAAAATGCCCAAAGTAACTTCACCTGGAGCCCTGTCTGGGGGAGGAGATGGTCGGTGTCAATGGTTCCACACCCGGCTGAGGTAGGCTTGTCTTAGCTACTTCGGGAATACTTCTGGAACAGCTAGAAGGAGGAATCTCAAGGAGCCCAACTCCTGAACAGCCCAGCACACGGACATGACTGTGTGTATGTCTTCAGGCATCTCTCCCCACCCTGGCTCAAAAGCCTTCAAGGAGCGCAGCCATCCATAGTGGAGGGTGTCTACAAATCTGGATCCCAGCTAGAGAAGTGTGACGTCCCCACAGCTGTTCTCTCCAGCACATCTTTTTCTGTGCAGCTTGATATTAAAGAGAGGCTTTATGGAGCCTCTGAGCCCTAGAGCTTGGGTACATCTCCTTGGAGTACCTAACGGTCTAAGAGGAAACCTTCCCAGTGCCTAAGCTACTCTGGTTCCATAGTTCCAAATGGCCACGGACGTTTGCTCCACTGAGCTAAGAGGCATAAATAGTTGAACACCTACGCCTTGGCCTGTGCCTCACGTCCCCAAAGTAGTTTCCAATAGGAAGAGAGTGGAGGTGAAGAGACAGATGGATGATCTATTCTTCATTACAAGCTGAAGGTCCCTTGTTGCATGTACATGTGTGTACATACAGAACCCCACTGCCCTTATCTCTACAAACTCCTACTCCAGAAATCCCTAAGCACCCTTTGGGAAAGACCCAACCTGCTCTCTGAGTTAGGCATCTCAGAGAGTGTCCAGCAGGGGGCGCCCATGCTCTGCTATGGCTCCAGCTTGGCACCCTGAGCATCTTTCTGCCCTGTAAGTCTTCTTACCCCCAGGTGAGACCCCAACCAGTTTCTCCTGCTTCTGCCTTGCTGGGTGTATATATCTGCCCCCCATCCTGCCCTCCACTCTTCCCCACAACCCCTTGAGTCCTGCTCCTCTGCCACCCCCATAGGCAACCCCAAGGATATGCTCTCGGACACAGTGAGTGATGAGAGACAAGAGGAAAGGGACCCGTTGGAAGGGCAGCAGGCATCTACATGGCCAAAACACTCCTCATGGCTCTCAGAAATGGCGATCTGGAGAAGGCCTGTATCACCCAGACTCTCTGTCAAGCCGGATACCTCTAGGTCTATGTGGTGGCCTGCTTCCTGGTGAGCTTGCACGTAAGCAGACATGCCCAGTAGACTTTGTGAACATGGTGGTTCTCAAATAGGAAATGGTGAATGACTGCATGCCAGCCTCCAAGAAGGGTGCTGGCTACATTCCTATTTCCTGGTCCTTCCTGTCCCAGGCTGGGGCAGAAGTCAACTGACGCCCTACCCTGGGGTGCCAATGCTAGGCAGAGGAAAGCATCATGTGGTCAGCACATACGCCAACATAAACAAGAGCATTTCTCCATAATAATAATATTTCAAGTTGATGGTCATTCCTGTAATCTCATCACCTGAAAGGTGGAGGCAGGAAGATTAGGAGTTCAAGGGTAGCCTCAGCTACATAGTAAGCTGGAGGCTGTCTTAGGACACATGAAACCCTGATGAAGAATGTAAGATCATAGTTTTGAATGTTATCCTTAACCTGGGCATGTCTCTGGGGTCAGGGTAAGGCAGAAATTCCCTTCTGTGCCACCAATCAACCTGGAGACATGTCCCCACTCCAGGTGTGCACCGCAAGCCCCAGCTCTACCTTCTACTTTGGGCTTGGCCTCTGCCAGCCGTTCCTGGAACTTCTTCTTGAAGAAGAGGGCCTGTAGTCGCTGCTGGTAGTGGTCAATCCTGTGGACAGGGCAGGCTGTGTCACAGGTGGACCCGGGGCTCCGAGGCAGCTCTAGCTCCCACTTGGACCATCCTTCTCTCCCCTTCCTTAGCAGAGCCGAACCCTGACCCCTGCGCCTCCTGCTACACCCGGTGCCCCATTGGCAGAGCCGAACCCTGACCCCTGCGCCTCCTGCTACACCCGGTGCCCCATTGGCAGAGCTGAACCCTGACCCCTGCGCCTCCTGCTACACCCGGTGCCCCATTGGCAGAGCTGAACCCTGACCCCTGCTCCTCCTGCTACACCCGGTGCCCCATTGGCAGAGCTGAACCCTGACCCCTGCTCCTCCTGCTACACCCGGTGCCCCATTGGCAGAGCTGAACCCTGACCCCTGCTCCTCCTGCTACACCCGGTGCCCCATTGGCAGAGCTGAACCCTGACCCCTGCTCCTTCTGCTACACCCGGTGCCCCATTGGCAGAGCCGGGACCTGAATCTCCTCCCTCCTGCTACACCCGGTGCCCATCTGACCTGCTCATTTCATAGAGGAAGCGGTCTGCACGCGCCATCCGCTCAATCTCATGCTTGTGCTCCTCCAGGAGGTCAATGTCGCTCTTCTCAGGGATGAACTTGAGGAGCTGTCAAGGGCAGATGCAAGTCAGATGGGAAGCTGTTGAGCAGTGCATACAGTGTGAAGTGTGGAGAGGCTCACGCATTGCTCTGCTCAATACTGGAAGGGCCTGCTGAGGCAGGAGAATGAAGAATTCAAGGACAGCCTGGGCTACATACCAATTTCAAGGCAAGCTTGAGCTACCTAGAGAGTTGAGGCCAATCTGCTCTACACATCCATTTTGAGGTCAGCCTGACTATATAGTGAGCTCAGGTATTTTCCGTGAGTATGTGCATCATGTGGGTGCAGTGCCTGCAGAGACTAGAAGAGGGCATCATATCTCATGGAACTAGAGTCACAGAGGGTTGTGAGCCTCCATGTGGGTGCTGGGAACTAAGCCCCAGACATCTGTAAGAGAAGTCAGTGCTCTTAACCTCTGAGTTACCTCTCCAGTCTTTGTGCTATGGTTTGAAAGTGTCCCTCTGAACTTCACATATGGAAACTTCCCAGTTAATGTTAATGACATCTGGCAGTAGAGTCTTTGGGTGGGGGTAATTGGGGTTAGATGAGGCCACAAGGGCAGGGCCCTAGTTGTGGCATTAGTGGCCTGATAAGAGAAAGAGAAATCCAAGTTATGGCATCTTCTGTCTCCTCCCATGATGTCCAGCACCTCACCAGGTGCCAAGCAGATACAGCACCATGCTCTGGAATTTCCCAGCCTCCAGAACTATGAGCCCAGTAAACTCTTACTCATAGGTTAACTAGTCTCAGGTATTTCGCCACAGCCACAGAAAGAGCCAACTCACTATGTTTAATTTGCATCTGCCTTCTCTCACTCAACATAACATCCAAGATTCTCCCATGCGTATGTCACTAGTTTATCTGTATTTACTGCTCAGCAGTGTTCCGCTGAAGGGATGTACCACGGTCTGTTTATCCAATTTCCAATTAATGATCAGTTAGCTTTCTCACCCTCTGGGAGGTTTAATAAGTCAAGTTATTATAATTATGTCTGTATATGTCTTTTAATATTTATATTGGCCTCTCTTTAGTGTGTGCCTAAGTGTGAGATTCCTGGGCAGACCTATGTTTAGCCTTAATACGCATGCCAAATAGCTCTGCAAAGTGAGCTGAGTGGGAATTCCAGTTCTGCCACACCCTTGTCAACATGTGACCGTCAGTCTTTAATCTTAGCTAACGTGGGGGCCCGTGACACTCCTTTTCTATGGTTGGCTGTCTTCTCTGGTGACTGCTGACACTGGGGCCCTTCATATGATCACAGGCTGCCAGGTACCATCTTCTATAAAACACTGGTTTCAGCTCAGTTTCAAAACGGGGCTTTTGCCACTTTCTCTCTTGTCTGCAGCGCACCTTACTCCAAATCCAAGCCGTTTGTTATATGTCCGCTTGAAAAACACTGTCAGCACTGTGGGCTTGTTATCACCTGAGGCAAAATGCATCCTTTGGATTGACACTGGCTCTTTCTCTTCTCTCTTCAGATTTTAAAATTTATTTTAATTTATGTATATGGGTGTTTTGTCTGCATGTATGTCTATGTACCATGTGTGTGCCTGACGCCCATGGAGGTAGAAAGAGGGAGTCGGAGCCCCTGAAACTAGAGTTATGGGTGGTTGTGAGCCAGCATATGGGTGCTAGGAAATGGACCCGGGTCCTCTGCAAGGGCAGAAAGTGCTCTTAACTGCTCTTAAGTGCTCTTCCAGCAGCCCAGCTCCTCTTTTGAGATAGAGTATCATGAAGCCCAGGCTGGCCTCAAACCCCAGTTCTGGGATTACAGATGGGCACCACCACGCTCAGTCTGGGGATGGAACCCAGGACGTCAAGCATGCTAGACAACTGTGCTCTTCATTTTAATAAAGCCCAGTTGGCAGCATGCCTGTTTGCCATGTCCCAGGTCTTCTTAAAGGACACAATGTCTTAAAGTGAAAGAGATCTGAGGAGGAAATGACGGTTGCCACCTGACCCTTCCCTGGGGCTTTGCAGGGGCCGCACTGTTCTCTGGCACCTTGTCCTAGAAGAAAGCCTAGTCCCGGGAAGTTTCTGGAAACGTGAGTGCCTCCAGATCCATGGCTCTTTGACCCACGGGTTTCAGCCTTTCTGGGCTGAGGCTGCCCCAGGCTGGCCTCCTCTCCTCTCCTGAGGGTCCTCACCTGCTCCAGCATGTCCTTAGCGAGGTCTTCCTGTTCATCCATCCTCAAGATGGCCTGGCGTATCTCCTCATTAGAAAGCTTCAACCTGCAACAAACCCGCCCTGAGCAGCCTGGCCTGGCCCTCACCTTCTCCTCGCCAGCCCCAGTTCGATCCCTCTCTCCTCCCTCCTCCACACAGGCTTCCCAGGCCAATTTCATAAATAGAGTCTAATTTTAATAAAGAGGACGTCCGATGCACTCCATATGTCATTAATGAGTGTTTTAGTTCTCATCGAAGCCTGAGTCCCTGATGCCTTGCTTGAACTTTGTCAGAGCTGATGAGACACGTGGGATTGAGATGGATGGGCAGAGGCATTCTGGCAGGCCTTTTTCCTCCTCCACCCCTCCCTCCTGCCTCAAATATCCTCAGCATCTCCATGGGAGGACAGAGCAGAACTCTGGGGGAACAGTCTCGCTCTTGCATCTCTGACAGTGCCCAGTTCCCACCCAGCTCCCATTAATCTTCCCTGCTCACCACCTACACAGTCCCTCTCCACCCCTCCACGTACACACCCACGAGAACCCTAGGGAAGCGGCACTCCTCCACCACTCAATGGCAGAAACTCAGGCCAGGGAACTTGTGGGAGGGCAGAGGGGGCAGATGTCCCAGAGGAGGCTGTAGGCGGTACTAAGAATAGAGCTTGGGGCGGTGCCCCTGACCCTGCCTGGGGGAGGCCCCCACACAGAAGCCGTGCTGTTAATACAGATACTGCTTGTTTGTTCCAAAGCCCAGGGAAATGCTTGCAGGCTGAGGTCATGCTGCTGCCCGGCCTCTCCAAGTGGGCCCTCCGTGGATCTAGAGTAGCACCACTGGCAGATGCCCACTCGTCAAGAGCCTCATGGACAGGGCAGTTTCCTGTCTGAAGAGCCCAAGCTGCGGCTCCACATGGGCTTGCAGGACAGAGGTCTAGGCCAGCATCCATCCCCCTCTCCTCTGGGGAAGTCAGAGAGGCAAGGCCAACATCGCCACTGATCCTCAGCCACCTTCCCCGGGCCTGCAGCTCAGCTGTCATGTGTGTTGTTTTGCTGTGCTCTGGATGAACCCAGGGCCTGGTGCACACTGGGCAGCCCGGCAAGCACTCTCCTGCAGAGTTATATCCAAATCTCAGCCCCTGTACCTCCCATTTTGGGCTTCTCCTTGGGGGTGCCTTTCCCTGCTACAGGTGAGTACCTACTTGGAGAGAAGAATGATACAGTTCTGGGCCCTCCGGCCATCGATGACTGACAGCTCTTTGACCTTGCGGGAAGCCAGGTAGATGTCTTCCGTGGAACCCAGTTCTTTCTGCAAATGAGTTAAATGGGGACTACTGAGGTAGGTGCTCCCGATCATCTTGCCCACCTCCCAGTCCCGCCCTTCCTTCAGTGTGGGGATGCCCCTGACCCAGTGGACATAGAGAAAGAGAAAGAGAAGATGGGAAAGGTAAGGCGTTAACCACCAATTCTTAGGAGAGGATCTATGATTAGCCTGGGCTAGGAAGGGTAGAGGGTAGCAAAGGGTACCCCCTCTTCAAATTTGGCCTCTCTTGGAAACCCAGGAAAGGAGCTTTGGAAATAGAAGCCGGAATTGATCTCTGTGGCTTCAGGCAATATGGTGTTGCCTATCATACACCCACCCAGAGCCTCCCTGAGCTTATGATGAGAAGCTGATCCAAACCCCCGTAACGCCATAGTTTCAAACTCCTGGAGACTTCCAGTCTATCTCAATATGCCAGGACCAAAGGGTTTTACAAGGTCATGTGGGAAAACAGAGGCAGAATCCATACTGAATTCACCTCTGGGATGCCAGTAGGCAAAATCAAAGCTCACGAACCTCCTCCTGCTGGACCTCCCCGCCCAGGGCCTCGGGAGCCTGTTTAGCACACAGCGATGACTCTAGGGACTTTCCCAGAACACATGTTCCAAGGCATACAACTCCAGGGCCTGCCAGGCACGCCATTGTCTGTGGAGTTTCCCTCTGGAGTTGTGCGGTGCCCAACATGTGGAGTCACGCTGGAAAGCCTTGCCTTGGGACTGGCAGGTGACACAAGGGACCTAGAAGCATTCTCCATTCTGTGGACATTCGCCTCCGCGGCTGGCAGAGGTCTCCTTGGAGGCCCTCCATCTCTCATATTTCCTCTCTCTCTCTGGGGACCCTCCTGCACGCCACCCTACATGGATGAGTAATAAAGGCTGGAGGCCATGCAGGCAAGCCTTCTCTCGTGGACCCAGTTCCAGGCTGCAGCCCAGGACAGTGGGTGAGAGATGGAACAAGAGTAACTCACCTGCTGAGAATCATGTTAGTTAGCAGCTCCTAGGCAGGCAGCAGCCACAGCCATGAGAGAGCTAAACACGCACAATGTTAGTCAATAGGCTGGGGACTCAGGAACATCAAGACACATGTGGGCATCCTTGGTATCTATTCTGTCTACTGTGTCCCCAGGAACAGGAGACAGGAACCCAGAGATAGTCATGGGCAGCTGCCCAAGGCAGGCATGCACTCAGAGAAGCTGGGCAAGCAAACACCAGGCAGCCTGCCACTGTGGGACCGGGTAGGTGCCCAGTTGACCCATGTAGCCCCCAAACATGAGAACTAGGATCCCAAGCTTTGAGAACTAGTTCTTTCCCGCCTCTGCTGGGAACCTGCTGAGGGGATAGAGGGTGTTCCTCCACCCTGGTGAATTCCTCTATCAGAACACGAACTTGAACCAGAAGCTTGTGAAAATCCTGATCTCTGGGGCAGGAAAAGCAGGCAACCTTGAATTTGGGCCCTTCCCTTTGCTTATCTGATGTCTAAGGGGACCGAGAAGCACAGCTTGTCCCATGTCTTTCTTCCTGACACTGATGGAGTTGGAGCCACAAGCTCAGAACCCACTAGGACATAGAGAGGTCTCAGAATCTTCTCTGGCCCGTGGCTCAAGGCCTGGGGCCCTGAGGTATGGAGAGGTAGCAACCAGGTCAGTTTGGCCTCTGGGACTACTCTAGCTTGACTCCTGTGACTTGGGTCCTAGACACTGATGTGAGGGGAGCCCAGCTGAGCTGTGAGCGAGTGGGCTCAGCAGCCTGAAGTGGGCAGATCAGATGGCTTTCGGACCCAATTCTTCCCAACAGCCTGGGAGGCCTCAAGCCCCACATGAACTCTTTCGTGACTCTCTCCTATTCCAGCTTAGGGCCTTGGGGTCTGGAGAGGCCAGTCCAGAATCCCATCACAAACGAAGAGGAGGCGTGGGCTTGCCATATCTGCTACAGCCATACCCCCTACCGCCATCTTACTCAGGGCACAGGTGTTCACATGACTTTTCCCTGCAGCCTTGACCACTGCCCTGAGCATGCCAGCCTAACCACAGCGTGAGCTAAAACACTGCTTGGAATTAAGAGTAGAGAGTCAGATGTCATAGACACCCACATTTAAATCAAATAAACAATCATTTGTTTTATCTGGAACCCCAAGATGGGCCAGTGTCAGCTGCACACCATTCCTTTGGCTAGGTCCCATGAGGCCTTGGCCCTGACTACCCGGTGAAGAGTCATCTCCAGGTCTAGACTCGGCAAAAGACAAAGTAGGGGACCCTCTGCAGACTGTTGGAGGCAGGCCTCAGCACCTAGCCACCAACCAGGGCTCAGGGCCCCTGAGTATAGCACTAGTCCTCAAGGCCAGCATCCTGGGCCAAGCAGAGATGAAGGAATAAATGTGCAAACCTTAGCAGATACACAGAGAAAGCAAGGGCCATAGAGCCCCTGCACTATTCCTCACCAAGTGGACCTGGGGAAAGACCCCCAGTTGCACTCAGATTCCAGAGCCCCCTCCCATCTTCAGAGTCGCTCAGTATTGGAAGATGAGGGCTGACAATTGGTACCCCGGCAGTCCCTACAAGTGCTTATCATTTTATACCTGTATCTGGCCAGAAGTCACAACCCCCTTACATTCTCTGTGACTGGAGGACTGGCCATGTACACAGACTCAGCAGAGCAGGCCCCAGGCCCAGGCTTGATCCTCAGAAGTGGTATGGAGCAGCATCCATCACCTTCCCTACACCTTTAACTTCTCTGTAGGTAGGTGTGTGTGTGTGTGTGTGTGTGTGTGTGTGTGTGTGTGTGTGTGTGTGTGTGTGTATGTGTGTGTGTGTCTGTGTCTGTGTATATGTGAAAGTGTGTATGTGTATGTACATTGTGTGCATGTGTGTGTGCATTGTGTATGTGTGTGTGCTTGTATGTGTGGGTGACTGAGTGTGTGAGTGTGCATGTGTGTGCCTGTGTATAAGTGTGTGAGGGAGTATATGGGGGGGGGGGAATGGTGGGAAGTGTGGGCTGAAAACTACAGTGGCCTCTAGGTATAGTCTATTATTCCTGAACCAAACAGAACAGTGCTCAACAGAGGCCAAGTCTGGGAATCTGCTTCCAATGAGGGAAAATACCATTCCATCCCTAGAAAAGGCACATTGAGCCCTCACTGGACTGTGCGGTTCTTATTTATCTCTTTGCCCTTGGCAGGAACATGGAAACTTATTACCAATAAAGTCATTCAGCATATCTGTGAGAAAGGAAAATGAAGGAAAGATAGAGGGGAAAAGGGAAATGAGAGAACAGGCAAGGTTTAAATACAAGGTGTGTGTGTGTGTGTGTGTGTGTGTGTGTGTGTGTGTGTGTGTGTGTGTGAAGGTTGAAAGTCAAGATCCAAGAGACCAGAGGATATGGTCTTACCTGGTGCCTCTGATATGCCGAGAACATTTTTTCAAAATCTTCCAGGTCCAGAATCTGAAATACCTGCATGTCATCAATCTCACTCCACACGGTACCAGAGACACGCTCCTAAGATTCAGGGTAAGGAGAAGAACCTCTGGTTGACCCGGCTCCTCCATGACGGAGATGCCAATAGTCCCCTAACCCCATCTGTCCCCACAGGCAGACCAAAGGCACAGGCTACAGTGGCCAGGCTCTCATACTTCCAGAAAGGGGTCCAACAACACCCACCCTTCTCCAAGCTCCCGCCTCCTCAGTGTTCTAGAGGGCAACCTCCTAATTGTCCCTCCCTCCATGTGAGGCTGATGGAGGTGTCTCAGAAACCACTGGAAGCACTGGAGTGTTGGGGCACACACGGAACGAGGGGCCGTGCTTCTTCAGAAGGATACAACCAAAGGCAGTGCTTGGGGACACCGTGCATGCCTGGAGCACTCTCTGACTGGAGTCCCCGGAAACAATGGGGCTCACACATATGTGGGATCGTCTGGGCCTGTGCATAGAGTGCGCGCCCTGGATCTGAGATGGTCATTTTCTTTCCCAGGAACTTGTTCCTACTTTCCCAGATTACCAGAAAGTGGACACATGCCAAAAGCTGGGACATGCTGGCCCCATGCAGTGACTCAGCTCAGATCAGCAAAACTTGCCTCAACTTCCTGTTGCTCAGAGCCAGGGAAGGTCCCCATCTTTTATGATTGCCATTGACCCATACATGTGTAGTTTCCAGCTTCCTCGATGGAAGAGGTGTCCCATGGTTTTGGACGCTTGTGCTAGGGTCTCTAGAAGCCCACACTGCTCCAGCAACCTTGTTACACCGTGTTGATGGTCCAGAGGACAAGCAAGGAATGGGGGAGCACCCCTCCTCACTGACAACCCCTCCTCCAAGAATCCTTGTCTCCTCTCCAGCATTTGTCTTTGGAGCAACAATCTCCCAGTCACCTACTCTCACCTGTCCAGAGGCCTATCAGGCCACCATCCTAACACCCCTTGCTACGTACGGCTCCTCCTCAGATTTGAGACAGTCTACCTTTTCCTCACTTATATTTTCTTAAACTCTGAAAAGGGGAGGCTAGGCCAGAGTCAAGAGGGAGGAGACATTCCTGTGGCCTTCCGAAAGCCAGGGACCCTCATGTGGAATGCTGGACTGGGAAACTCACAGCAGCAAGGGATGTAGGCAACTGGCCAAAGCCAACACAGACGCATTCTTTTCACGGTGGAAACAACCGCTCTATGTGTGTGTGTGTGTGTGTGTGTGTGTGTGTGTGTGTGTGTGTGTGTGTACATTTAAGAGCATATGTAGGATAGAGGAAGGGGCTAGGGAGAGAAACTTGGGTCCTGGAAAGGAAGACATGGGGGGCATAGAGAGAGGATGGGATGGGGAACTGAGTCAGGATGGCAGGGAGAGGAGCAAACAGAGGCAATGGGGGATCTGGGAACCCAGTGTCTCCTGCACATGGGTAGGGGTGGGGAAAGGATGCCCATAAGAGTAAAGATTCCAGTCCCTTGTATTCTTGTGGAGGTCAGAGCAAACCTCCCTGGTATATCCACCTTGGATGATAACTCTCCGATTTAATTTTTCCAACACTCTGTCATCTCTAGCCTAGATTCCTGGGACTTCAGACCCCCTGGAGATAGCCACAGAAGTCACACGCAGCCTTTTCCCAGGACCATGCTTCAGGACAGTTCCCTCACAGAATGCTGCCTTTGGGGCTGAGCAGATCCACTGACTGACATTTCTGGCCTTTCTATTATGTGACCTGTGGGCAAATGGAAGGATAGTATTTCAACCCCATAGCCCAAATGGGAAACTGAGTCTAAGGGAAGCATAGTTCAACTTTGTTGACATGAGAATCATGGTGACATACTTAGAGTACATGTGGAAAACACCATGAATAATAACTAATCTCACATCATTAAGACTCTCCATGCCAGAGTGCTCTCTAAATAGTATATCAGTCAATCTTCACAACTATCCTTTGGAGGGCATTGTGATGACCCCACCCCCCAATTTACAGACAGGAAGCTGAATGTCAAATAATTAAATCATCTGCCCTGTCATGGAATCAAAAGTTTGGGATTGAATAGTGGGCTCTCAAACATCACTCAGTGTGCTTCTACACATAGGATGGGTACACGACCCTACTCACGGTCCCTAAGGAATCATGTAGCCTTTATAAATCCTGGACCAGAGAGAAACCCCAAGCACGGAGGTCAGCATCACGACAGTACAGAGAAACTGCTGACGGTCATGCCTGTATTTTCTTCTTTTACTGTTGTTGTTGTGTGTGATGTATGCGAAGTGTGTTCATGCAAAGGTCAGAGGACAACTTTGTAGAGTCAGGTCCCCTCTTTCCACCCTTACAGTGGTTTCTGGGACTGAACTCACGCCGTCAGGCTTACACAGCCAGCACTTCACCTGCCGAGGCATTTACCAGTCCTTGACTGTATTTTCTTAATCCCTGCCACATGCTGTAATTTAATACATGTCATGTGTGGGTACACATATGTGTGTGCATGCACATGTGTGTACTGTGCAAGTGTGGACCAGGTCAACTGCAGGTGTTGTTCCTCAGGAGCTGATCCCCTTTACAGGGTTTCTTACATGGCTGACTGGCAGTCAAGCCTCAGGGACGTTCCTGTCACTGCCCCTTCAGTGCTGGGATCAGGCACATGCTACCATGTTCAATTAATTCTCCTTTTCTTTATTCTTTATTTTCACATGAGTGCTAGAGATCGAACTCAGGTCCTTAGAATTGCATGACGAGTACTTTTCCAATTGAGTTATCTATCTAAGTCCTTCACATTTACTAAAATTATTTTTACATTTTTTTTATTTTGGGGTGAGTCACACAGGCCATGGCACACATATCAAGGGGTCAGAAGTCAACTTTCAGGAGTCAGTTCTCTCCTTCCACCTCATGGTCTCAGGGGTCCGACTTGGGTTCTCAGGCTTAGCAGCAACACCTTTGTACAATGAGCATCTCACTGGCCCCTAACTTGCTACATTTTAAAAAACAATTTATAAGTTGAAAGTGTGAGAGTTTAAACATTTTTTGACCATGTCAACAAACTAACATGCTTTGCTTCCCACACAGCCTCTGGCTTTAGGTTCTGGAATGTTCTTTGCCTGCACACGTGCCCCTGGCTTTCTCACTGCAGAGCAGCATGTGCAAGTTGCAGCTGCTGCCTAGAGAAGGTTGGAGCCTTACGGGTCTAGCTGTGAAATGCTGTTACAGGCAGCTCTAATGCTTCTGTAACTCAGGAGATGGAGGGGGCAGTATTCACACTCCATGTTTCCACCCAGACTGGGAAGCCAGAAATAGAAGGATCTTAGAGACCAGGATGGACAATCAAACTACGGTAACAGACCCGGGAAGTGATTTCCATGGTCAACACAGAGGCACACTAGGATTGGTTAGGGCTGAGTAAGTAAAAGCAAGTGCTCTGTAAGCACTTCAGGCTACACATCCTAATCAGTCAGATCCAACGTTCTCAGGAGGCAACTCCATTTCTTCCTTCATCACCTCTGCCCCATTCTCTCAGGCAGGGTCTCTCACTGAACCGAAAGCTTGCCACTTTGGTTAGGCCCAGCTGGCTTGCAAGCTCCTGGAATCCTCTTGTCTCTGTCCCTCAATGCTGGGGTTAAGAACACATACAGCGGCCGGGCGGTGGTGGCGCACGCCTTTAATCCCAGCACTCGGGAGGCAGAGCCAGGCAGATCTCTGTGAGTTCGAGGCCAGCCTGGGCTACCGAGTGAGTTCCAGGAGAGGCGCAAAGCTACACAGAGAAACCCTGTCTCGAAAAACCAAAAAAAAAAAAAAAAAAAAAAAAAAGAACACATACAGCCATAACTAGCTTTTTATGTGGATGATGGGGTTCAAACTCAGCTCCTCACGCTCACAGAGAAAGCTCTCTTGTCCGCCGCGCCATCTCCCTAGCTCCTAATGCCTGCTTCTCCATTCACCCCCGGCACACACAGGTTCATTGCAAGTGACTTTGACAGGAAGCACAAGGTCTGCACTGAACATTTCCTCCAGTTGGTGTTTAGAGGGGACAGCGAGCCACCTGACTCCAGCAAGCCCCTCATCAGTGCCCACCATGCCCACCCTAACACCTGACCAAACAGAGAATCAAGATGACTTGTGCGAAGTGCAAGGTGCAGGACAGGGAACTGCCCGTCGGTCCCTCAGCGACTTACCTCATTCAGCTTGACCCAGTTGAAGGACTTCAGTGGGTGTGAAGGCTGGGGGATGCGCTTTTTCCTGAGTGGGGCACTGTTGCTGGGGAAGGGGTCCTGAGGCAGGGGCAGGCCTGAGCTGAAGCAAGGCGGAGCACCTGGGGGGATAGGAGGCCCTCCGGGAGGAGGGGGCGGTGGGGGTGGGGGTGGGCAGCAGGCAAAGGGGAGTGGGGGTGGGGGTGGAGGCAGATCATTGGTTGTTGTGGAGGAAGACAAGGTGAGTGGACCTCCAGGGGGAGGTGGGGAAGACACTGGGCCAGTCTGTTGGAAGACAAAAAAGGCAAGATGGTGTGCCCGTCAGTACTCAAGCTAACCGAGTCTCCACGTTATCCTCATTTTGTACCTACTGAACCTTCTTCAATCATTCATGTACATTGAGACACCATTTCTCTCTCTGCATCTCAAACAGCGAACACACACACAGATACAGATAGATACACATACACAGACAGACACACATACACAGACACACATGTACACATGCACACACACAGATACGGACACACACATAAAGGCACACACATGTACGAACACACACACACACACACACACACACACACACACACACACACACAAACACTAAGTTAAACATACACACAGACACTAGGCAACCAAAGTCACAACCACCAAAGCAAAACATCTGGATGCATGCATGCAGTGGTGCAGGCTACTTGCTGCACAGAGACATCCAGGCAGAAGGAAGGGGCAGGAATTCTACATGCACTCCTGTGCAAGATACACTTCGGGGAACGGTGTCATCCCATCCTGAATTTGTTGACATAAAGGGCTCACCCACACAGACTAACGAGCCACTTGGGTTGTGGCTCAAGGTCCCCCTTTCTCTTCTCCTTCATCTTGGGGTTCTTCTCTTCCCCCCACACTTGCGCTGCCCACTCTAACCCGAAACTCAGGGAGCTGGCTGAACTACAGGAATGGGAATTGGATGATGCCCGTGTACGCGTACTGAGATTTCATTGAGTTGGGCTACCAATTCTGCCACTTGTCCCCTAGCTTGGCGCAGTTCCTGGGACTCCCGAGCCAGCTTGTCCTTCATCTTGTTCAGGGTCCTCATCATCTCTTCCTTCTCCAGTGTCTTTGTCTCACATTCCCGCTCCTTTCTCTCCAGCCTGCTCACGAGCTCCATGTGTTCTGGAGGGGACGGGACCCCCGGGAAAGTGAGAGGAGAGGGAGCAGGTATGACTTCTCTGAGGGAGGAGATGGGGTCCCAGGCAGGGTGGGCACGGGTGCAGGAAGTGGGTGCAGCCGGTTTAGGCGGACCCTCTCACCCTTCCGGAACTTCTCTGCTTGGTCCCGCCACTGCTTCACTTCGTTCTCATTGATGAGCCTGTGGAGAAGTGGAAGATGTTATCTCACCTCTCCCTGGAAGACAGGCATCTCTATTCCCCAGAGATAGAGCCTCATCTCTGAGCTGTCTAGACACAGGCTTCTCACATGCCTCTCCAGGTCCCCATTCCTGCCCATTCTCACTCTGTGTCCTCATGGACCATGAGAACAGGAAGGAACCCCAAGTCATTTCCAATTCAACTCCCTGTGTGACAGTTGATAGGAATTAGAGGTAAGTGCTAGATAGACTGAACTCAGGCGGTCTGTAGTACATGCACATAAATATATGCATACTGACACACTTATACACACACACACACACACACACACACACACACACACACACACACACACACACACGCACACACATCTAAGAGCCAGAATCGTCAGCCTAACATGTAAGGGCATGGGAAGCTATCTGCCCAACAGAGCAGGGGAGTGATGGAGCATGATTGTGGGCACATCTGAGACCCAGGACAGCTTCATTCATAACAAACTCTTCTAACAGGTGTTAAAATTAGCCTTTCCTCAGACCCTAAAGTTGTGAGGGATTGAATCCCATCGTGACAGCCCAGTTATCATTACATTTTTACATTTGTTTATTTTTCTATTCCATGCATGTGGAATCAGAGAGGACAGCTTTGCAGGTTTATTAAACTCTCCTTTTCCTTTCAGCATGTGATTCCCATGATTGAACCTAGGCCATCAGGCTTGGCAGCAAGCGTCTACACTTGCTAAACAATCTTGCTGGCCCATGGTGAGATTTCTTTGGAGGGTTGCTAAATGTGGTCAATGGGGTGCTACATCTTTTACCACCCAAAGAAGTGGTTCCTTGGGCATGGACAGAGTCTTGATTATGTTCGCTGGTCTGGGGAGGGGTGCAGGGTAGACTGGTTCTACTTGGGGCCAGGCAAATGCAGATGGTGAACAAGGGCTAATCAGCTCAGACAGCATGGCTGTGCTGGGACCTGTTGGCACCCCAAGAGTTTGCTGACACAGTCTGTGTGAGTGAAGCAGATGGCAGTTTGGGCCCTTGTGGTTGAATGGGGCTGATGTCATTTGTCTATGGAGCCCAGGGGTCCATTTAGCAGATAACTGGAAACATCAAACTCTAGGCCAGTGTGTGCTGCCAGAGAAGCAATAGACAGCCAGCTTGATGGGGGTGGGGAACCTCTTGCATGGTCCATGCTTTGGGTTCTATAGGGAAAGGCTCTTAGCAAGGAACTCTAGAGGACCCCAATGTACTCATGTGCACACCCAACAAGCAGGAGGCCTGTTATTACACAGCCCGTCAGTTAAGATCTCTAAGACCCTTCCCCTTCCTCCTTCCTGCCTCCTGTCCCCAGCTGCATCATGAGGGATATCAGAAACTTGTGTTATCCAGTAGATCTGGGACACAGACACACTCAGAGGAGAAAGGGAACCAAGACAAGAAGAGAAAAGGCCAGCTATACCACACACATGCATAGGCGTGCACATGCACACATCTATGCATATATACCACCTTCCCTTTCCTATTCTGACCTCTGGGGCCTCAGAGGAGAGACCTTTAAAGCTAAATCAGGTCTCATATGCTGGTTCATATGTGGGACCAGCCCTCCCATTTGTAGTAGCTTAAAGTGATTTTAAAGACTTCTGCAGTCCAAGAAGACACAGAGGCTTTGCTAGACCCCAGGAATCATCATGTCTGCCACAGGAAACGTTTCCTCACTAAATAATACAGAGAGTTTGCAGAAAACCAACTGAAGCCACCGTGTGATTAGTTTACTAGCTGTACTTGAGCAACAAACCAGTTAGGGGTTGGACGGAATCAACTCTTGATCATTTGTGCAAATAAAATGAGAGTCGTTTAAAATCCACTTTGCATTTGGCTTTAGAATGCAAAATCAGGAAGGCAATTTGTCCCTGGAAGGACAATTAGCTCAAACTCATATCAAAGTTAAATAAAAAAATTAATTAAAAATACCCAGGACATTAAGGTAGGTCTTATTATTAGCTCACCAATGTAAACATGAATGGTTTCTGTGTGTCTTCCAGAACACTCTGTAAAAGGTCTCGGGCTCTGACAACTCATGCAATTGGTTAATGTTCAAATGGCCATGTCCCATGTCAGTGGCCACCAACCTTCTGTAAAGAGCCAGCGTTGGTATTTAGGTGTTTTGTACACTGTGCACAGTGGCCGTCACATGGTCCTGGTCTGTTGGTGTTATGTGCACTGAGGCCGTCACACGGTCCTGGGTCTGTTGGTGTTATATGCACTGAGGCCGTCACATGGTCCTGGTCTGTTGGTGCTATGTGCACTGTGCACTGTGGCCATCACACAGTCCTGGGTCTGTTGGTGTTATGTGCACTGTGCACTGTGGCTGTCACACAGTCCTGGGTTTGTTGGTGTTATGTGCACTGTGCACTGAGGCCATCACACGGTCCTGGGTTTGTTGGTGTGAAGTATAAGGACATGCTGAGGCAATAGCTCAGGGGGTAAAGCTCAAGACGTGAGTTTGATCCCCAGAACCTGCTAAGTAAGGCGTGAGGTGGTGCACACCTGTAGTCCCAGCACAGGGAGGTGGAGATGGGCAGGTCCCTGCAGCTCTCTAACTGACTAGCCTAGCCTAATTAGGGAGTTCCAGGCCAACAAGAGACCCCATCTCAGAGGAGATGGATAATGTACCTGAGGGTAGTATCCGAGATTGCCCATTGGCTTCCATATGCACATCCTACATGTGCATGCATACGCATGTGAACATGCATATACAGGTATGCACATGACATATGTACACACACTCCAAAATAAATAAATAAATAAATAAATAAATAAATAAATAAATAAATAAATAAATAAATAAAGGAGAAACAAAACAATTTTCAGCCCTAACTGGAGGACTGGGCTGGCTCATGACCTATAGTCTACAGGCAGGTGCTCTGTGTAAATGCTCTTAGTCCCTCTGGCTAAGCCTTGTAGTGGACCATGGAGAACAGAGTTGAGAGTGTAACACACGCTCATACTGTCCAGCACGGTCACCAGCAGTCTCATGACATGGAGTTCTTCACATTTAAATGAGACAAATGAAGAATCCGGTCTCTCGGTTACACTTGCCATGTATGTCCAATACTCATAGACCAAATAATGGCTGCTGCCATGGGTAATCTTGACTGTCGAAGATGATGTCAAGAGACAGGATCTAGAGTCACCAAAGAGGCAGACCTCTGGGCATATCTGTGAGGAATTTCTTAGGTTGGGTTCACTGAGGAAAGAAGACCCACCAGTACCATTCCATGGGCTAGGGACCTGGGCCACACAGAGGAAAAAGCCAGCTGAGCACCACATCATCTCTCTCTCTGCACCCTGATAAGCAACCTCAAGATCCTGTGGCCAGATGGATTATACACTCAGCTATGAGCCGAAAGAAACCCACCCTTCTTTTCTTCCTTCCTTCCTTCCTCCCTCCCTCCCTTCTCCCCTCTTCCCCTCCCTCCTTCCCTTCCTTCCTTCTTCCCCTCCCTCCTTCCCTTCCTTCCTTTTTCCCTTTCTTTCTTCCCTCCTCCCTCCCCCTCCCTTCCTCCCTCCCTCCCTCCCTCTGCTTTGTCCAAGTATTTTGCCACACAAACAAGAAGAGTAACTAACCCAGCTGCCACACTGGACAGGGGCTTCTATACACTACAGAACAGAATTTCTGAAGTCTCACACGGGTTAGAGAGGGAGCTGAAGTTTTGCTAGGGGAGCCCAGAGGGAGAGAAGCAGAGCTGGCAGAGGCCAGGTCAGAGACCAGCTGTAACTCACATGTTGACGACGTTCTTGACATTGAAGTTTTCCAGCGGGGCCAGGTCAGGGTCCACGCCCCGCTCATCCTGGAGGACGATCTGCTGGAGGATTCGGTCCAGGAGCTGCCACTGTTGGAAGTAGCCACCGTTCCGCTTGTCTGAGGGACAGAAGGCGTTGGAGCTGTCCTGAGCCCGCGAACCCCTGGAGTCCTTGCTCTGCCATGACTGCCTAGGCTCAGGCCAGCAAGGCAAGCCCTCCCCGTCCCGGGAAGCTCCTGGTCTGACAGAAGAGGCCGTGCTGCTGCCAGGCATGGAGACTCACAATCTAGTCAACTCCTCATCATCTGCAGATGGCCTTTCATGACCCGGGAAACCCTCCTAACATTTCTCTACAGCGCAAAGTGCTTCCTCTTTCTTTTTCAGACCCTGGGCATACTGTGCCCTGGGCCTGCGAATGGCTTTTTCTACTGTCTATAAAAAGCATCTATTTGAAAATATAACAGGCTCGATAATGAAGTCTCCAGGGAAAACATAACACAAGATTTCTTGATTATCTTTGTTTCCACTTTACAGAAAAAGATGAATGGAAGCTGGTCCCATATATGTGCTAAGGGCATCAGGATGAGTTGAAGAAGGGCTGAGTGAACCCAGGGAGACTTCTCAGTGGGGATGACCTTGAACTATGGAGGCAAAGGCTTCTTCTCATCCTCAGGTATCACCGTCCACCTGGGTGTGGACTTCTTTTCTACACAAGAGCCACTACCTCTCCTTCCTGGGTCGCTTCATCTTTAATGGCCACTAGGAAAAATTATTTTAATCCTGACATCAAATTCTGCCTGCAAGCTAGCCAATTGTGTCTTCAAAGCCCCATTTAGAGGCAGAAGAGAGGAGCCCATTCACATTGCTTATGGCCCACCAAACAGGGAGCCTCTGGGAGCGGAAGAAACCAGATCCCAGCAGCTTCTATGAAGATCTGGGCTGAATTTGAGATTTTAAAAAATTGTGTGTGTGTATTATATATATATATATATATATATATATATATATATATATATATATATATATATCTGTGTGTATATTATATATGTCTCTCTCTGTCCCTCCGTGTGTGTGTGTGTGTGTGTGTGTGTGTGTGTGTGTGTTATACATGACTGTGTGTGTCCCCAAAGACCAGAAAAGTTGTCAGATCCCCTGGAGCTAGAGTTACAAGTATTTGTGTGACACCAAACGTGTGTTCTGGAAACCTGAACTCAAGAAGCAGGGGCCTTTAGTTGCCAGCCATTTGTGCAGCCCCTGGGCTGAGTCTGGAGAACTGTGGCTCCCTGGTGTGGCTCCCTGGTGTGGCTCCCTGGCGTGGCTCCCTGGCGTGGCTCCCTGGTGTGGCTCCCTGGCGTGGCTCCCTGGCGTGGCTCCCTGGCGTGGCTCCCTGGTGTCTTTGTCTTCCCCTTACCATTCTCCCCACACCATGTTGTTAGCTTGTCAGTTTGCTGTTCCTGGGGAATGCGGTGTGCAGGCAGCTCCCAGCTACATGCTTCCTCTAAAGACTGACCCCAAACCAAGAAAAACAACAACTCTATGTGAAGAACCCACTCAGAAGTAATAGCATGCAGGCTGTGCTGAGGTTCAGCAACAGTGTGCTAAGAAGCTCCCATCAGATGTGCCCCAAGTTGGAACACAGTAAGTTGTAATTGTTGCCCCCACCATCGTGACTTTGGCGATCCTGATTAGGCTGATGGTTACAGAGGACCAAACAAATTTTCAAAATATCCTATTTTTGGAAAGCTGGATGCAGCTGAGGTTCATTTCCAATTACGTTCTTGGGCAACGATGAGTAATCTTGAATAATTTATTCTCATACTATTACCCATGAACACATGGATCTTGAGAACTCAGCCACCTGCTCCCAAGATGCTCTTTGTTGTCTATAAAGAGAGTAGGAGTAAGCAAGAATGCTAAAGCTTAAAAACAAAGCAAGCATGAGGCTGGGGAGATGAGTCAGCCTGGTAAAGAGCTGGCCACACAAGCGTTAGGACCCAAGTTCCATCCTTAGCATCTATATAAAGGGGCTGGGGAGGCAGAGGTGGGAGGAGCCCTGAGGCTCCCTGGCCAGCCAGTCTACCTGAATCTGTGGTCTCCAGGTTCAGTGAGACCCTGTCTCAAAAAATAAGGTGGGGAGTGACTGAAGAACACCTAATATTGACTTCTGGCACTCATATGCTCACACATGTGCAGGTGCACACATGAATGTACATGTACACACACATGCACATGTACACACATGTACACACACTTGCATACACAATCACACACTACAGTCAAAACAATCAAAGCAACATGAGCATTGCATGTCTGTTCTGTTTCTCTAAACATGAAACTTCCTTTTGCAAATGACAAGAAGACTCAATGTACCTGCCATCAACAGATCACAGAAGATACATTTTTGTCATGATCAAACGGCAGCTTGTTGGACTGCAAGGCTGGTGTTGCTCCAACCATGTACTTAGCTCCACCCCCAGGGTGGCATGAGGCAACCCAAGGAGGGAGGAACCTGAGTCACTGGGCCTCTTGAAGGCCAGCACAGAGGGACTTGTTCCAGGCCCAGCGAGCTCCCCATCAAAGACTCACCCCCACCTGGTAGATGGAGACCAAGGTCCGAGAGAGCAGTGGTGTGAGCAGGGTACTCACATGGCATCTGCAGGCAGTGGTGCAGCACAGAGAGGAGGCAGGGGTAGGCCTCCGTGTGCCTCAGCTTCTTGTGGATCAGCTCAAACATCTGGGAGGCACTCTTCGTGTCGATGTGAACCTGGAGGGTTTAGGCCACAGTGAAGGGCAGAGCCGGACAGACAGCCGAGGAAGAGACAAAGGGCTGGGAGCTACTATTTCTGTCCTCCCAGCTCCATCCCTCTCCGGGGAGGAGCTCCCCTTTCCTGACTATCATCCGGGGACAAAAAGGATGAAGCAGGGGTGGTGGTAGGGATCATACAGACGGGTTTCCCCACCTCAGCAACCCTGGCATCTTGGAGCAGATAATCCTTTGGTGCAGGGTGAGGCATTCCATGTCTTGAAGAATGTTTAGTGCTGTCCCTAGTGACTGCCCCCTAGATGCCAATGGTCCCCTCCCTTCTCCCTCCCCAAGTTGTGACATGCAAAGCATGTCCATGCTTGACCAATGCCTCATGGAGAGGCAGGAGTAAAACCACCCTGCCTAGGAACAGCTGAGCCACACTAAGGGAAGGAAGGGGGCATAGATGCTTCAAGGGAGCAGATGGCCTGGAGTTCAAGGCCCAGATCCGCTCTAGGTACGGGACAATTAGTAACCTGGTGAATTCTCTAACCTCTGATTCCTTATCTGCAATCCCAGGCTTTGTGAGTGTGTATGGGTGGTAGCCCTGCCCCAAATGAGGCTATTGGCTATGTAGGATCGCATGATACACGTAAGCAAGGGCGATGTGCGTATTTTGAGCCTGTGAGGCCCAGATGAAAAGGTTTGGTTCGCTAAGCACCATCTGGCTCGGGATAGAAAGAGGCAACTTGGGAAATTAGGGGGCAGCAGGGAAAAGCCAGCCGGGGACAGGACTCGAGGCTGAGTATGTTCACTCACAAGCTGGCTGTCTTACTTTGGGGTTTCTTGTTTCCTGGGGCAGATGACCAGGTATGGCTCATGCGGTGAGGCCCCCAGAGCAAGCACACCACCAGGGTTCCTTCAGAAACAGGGCCTGGCCACAGGGTACCACTGGGGATCCGGCCAGCATGGGACTGACTTTAAGCGAAGATCTGGAGCAGTGGTCGTGGGACTTCCTAGGACCTCATACAACTGTCCCACCCCAGAGGCACCTCACCATGTCAAACCTCCGGGCTAGCTCCAGGTCGTCTTCATTCCGGACCATCTCAAAGAAGTCTAAATGCCTAGATAGATAGGAGGGGGTAAATAGGGGTACAGAGAAAGTGTTATTAAAGCTAGAACATCCCTGGTGGAGGGGTCCAACCCATTCAATATCCCACTGACTAGCTGAAAGTTTATTCAGGTGAGGCTAAGGCAAGACCAGAAAGAGTCTATACACTATAAGCCGACCCCCATCTCCGTGATAAGACTTCACAGTCTTCCTTTAGGGTGATCATGTCAAGATCCAGTCACCACAGATCCGCATTTCTCACTTTGACATTGTTGACTTGTTAGGCACAGTTGGCCTTGGTGATGGGAAGCTGCGTTGTCTGCTCCAGGTTATTCGTCAGCATCCCTGACCATTACCCGTAAGATGTCAGTAGACGCTCTGCCCAAGCCCACCGTGATGGATTAGATATGCAATCTGAGCACTCGGGAGGCTAAGGTAGAAGGATCATGAATTTGAGACCAGCCTGAGCTGTATCTAGTCTGGGCTATAGCATGAAACCCTGTCTCAAAAACACAGAGGCTCCACTCCCAACTTGCCAACTCAAAACACCTCTGGACACTGCTAGGTACCTCCTGGAGGATAAAATCACCCACTTTCAAGGACCACTCTCTTCCATCTGTCTTCCTGGTATTACCATATCATCTCCAACATAGTCCTCAAAGCAAATCTCTCCCTTATTCTCCATGGAAACACTGCCCCCTTTCCACATAAAAATGAATGATTCTTTCGTCTCCTTCTCCCTCACCCTGGTGTGTGTGTGTGTGTGTGTGTGTGTGTGTGTGTGTGTGTGTGTGTGTGTGTATGTATGTATGTGTCTGTGTGTGTGTGTCTGTGTGTGTGTCTGTATGTCTGTGTGTCTGCATCTGTGTGTGTCTGTGCTGTATGCACATATGTATTATGTGTTCTTTTGGAGACCAAGGGATGGTGTTGGTTGGCTGTCCCTTCTGTCTCTCTCGGCCTTATTCCCTTGATCCAGGGTCGCTTGCTGAGCCTGGATCGAGGCTGGTGGTGGCCAGAAAGCCCCAGCAATCCTTCTGTCTCCCCTGCTACAGTGTTGGTGTTTCAGGCCCCCACACAGCCACACTTGGCTTTTTACCTGGGTGCTGGAGATCCAGACTCAGTTCCTCGCACTTGCAAAGTAAGAGCTCACACTTGCTGAGCTCCCCCTGCCCTCTACTCAACACCCAATGTAACAAAGTGGCTTGCACAAGTGAGTGAGACAGAACCAGTGTGGCCCACTGGTGACACGTAAGAACATGATCATGTATTTTGATCCTCAGAGTATTTACAGCACACATTTGGGGTGAGGCAGTTCTCTGTAGAGCTGGACATTTAGCATTGCTGCCCCTTCAAAACCACAAACGTCAGCAATACTTTCCCTGACAAGGTTGAAAACCAAAGGACACCCACCGATTTCTAAATGTCTCCCAGAAGATTGTCTACCTTGATTAGGGACCACTGGGTTCACCTGTCTATAACATCACAGATGTTATAGGCCAGCATGGGTTTACCTGCCTCACAGAGTACTGATTCTAAAACTAGGCTTCCTATGGTAGTTGGTCCCCAGGAGAAGAAAACAGCCTTTTCTAAGGTCCTAGCTGCCCCATCAAGAGGAGCTATAACCACAGGTTTATGGTGGGTCTGGGTCACTGTGGCCTTACTTGTCCAGGATGGCATTCTCGTGTTGTCGGAGTTTATCAATCACTGGCTGGATCCCCAGCATCAGGAACTCATACCGGAGATGTAGGCGAAATTCCAGGTTATCCTGAGGGTCACCAAGGGAGGACCAGACTCAGTGGCTCATCTCGTGACCAAGAGGAACACCCACAGACTCCGTCAGCACCCACCTCAGCCATAGTCCCACATCACATTGTGCAGCCAGATCATCTAGAACCACTTCCAGAGACTGCCTGTCACCTTGCTATTTCTCTAAAGCTAGTCTGCCAACTAGCCCCTGTTCCTTCCACTTCACTCCCCAGTCAGTGTTCACTTGCCCTCTGGTATCAACGAGTATTCCTGCAGAAGAACAGGGCAGGGACTTGGCTATTTTCCTGATCTGCTTTCTAATTTCGTGCCCTTGGCCATGTCTTTGCTTCCTCATTTGTAAAAGTGGCTTAGTATTATTTATCTGTGGGATTGGTGTGGCGGTTTGAATGATAATGACCTCCATAGGCTCATATATTTGAATGATTGGTCCATAGGTGGTGGAACTGTTTGGGAAGGGTTAGGAGGTGTGGCCTTGTTGGAGAAGGTGTGTCACTGGGGGTGGGATTTGAGGTTTCATTATTCCACATCATTCACAGTTATCTCTCTCTGCCTTGTGCTTGTGAATCATATGTAAGCTCTCAGCTTCTGCTCCAGCACCACGCTTGCCTGCCTCATGCTGTGCTCCACACCATGATGACCACGGACTTCCCCTCTGAAACTGTTTGCTCCAGCAAACTGTTTCTCATATAAGTTTCCTTGCTCAGGTGTCTCATAGCACAAAAAGGTAACTAAGACAAAAGTTGGTACCAAGGAGTGGGCTATTACTGTGACAAGCCTGACCATGATGTTCTTTGGACTTTGCAACTTTGAACTAGGAACATGGTTGAATTCTGTAAGTGGGGCTTACCAGGCCACGCTAGTTGGGGTTTGGAAGTCAATAGTGCTACAAACAATGTGGACCATGGAGATTCAGCTCAAGAGGTTTCAGAAGAGAACAATATTAGCAACTGGCTTAGAGACCATTCTCACGATATTTTGGCAAAAAATGTGGCTGCTGTTTTCCCTTGCCCCAAGAATCTGATAGATTGAAGAGTTTTGGATTGATTTCACTTGGCAGGGGAGATTTTAAGGCAGATTTTAATATTGACTGTCTTGTGGTTATTAGTGATCACCCTTAGGCAGCTCTACAGTGAAGAAGAAGAAGAAGGGAAACAAAAAGAAATACCAAATGTAAAGTTTGAGGAGAAAAGAGCACCCAGAAATTTAATGTTGGAGCCAAGGCTTATGCCAAGGAAGAGAAAGAGAAATAGAATAAAAGGAGAGGTATCTTTGGGGTGAGAGCAGAGTTTGTGGTCCTAAAATGGAGCGGCAAATCAAGCCTTATGCAAATGGAATTCAAGGAGGGGTCAGGTTCCATTCCAAAGAGGCTGCCTAACTTGGTAGCATCACCATTTGGTTCTGGATCTAGAGTTGTGAAAGATATAAGAGTAAAGGGGTTATGGAATCTTCCTCCTCAGTTAAGGAAATCCACTGAAGTTGTGTGTGTGTGTGTGTGTGTGTGTGTGTGTGTGTGTGTGTGTGTATGTGTGTGTGTGTGTAGAATGTTCCTGTATAGAGGCCCAGAGAAGCCATTGTGTGAGGCTGTGAAGGAGAAGTCCAGACTGCACTGGAGAACCCACGATGCTGGAGATGCCAGAGTCTTGGGATGTCTGCCAAGGAAAGTTGCAGCCCAAAGAGACAAGTGTCCTGCAGCCAGCAAAGCTGGAGGGAAGAGCCGTCTAGTCCCTCTGACATCTGACAGAGAGTGATAGGATTTGCAGTTCGCCCTACTGGATTTTGGTCTTGCTTTGGTCCAGTATTTCCTCATGCCCCATTTCTCCCTTTTAGAGTGGTAATATATATTCTTGTATGATAATATATATATATATATATATATATATATATATCACTGTATGATGGAAGTATGTAATTTGCCTTTTGATTTTATAGGGGTTGTAAAAAGTTAAGAGAATTCCTTGATTCTCAGAAAAGACTTTGGACTTTTAAACGATGTTGAGACTATGAAAGACTACAGGAATTTTTGAAGTTGGACTAAATGCATTTTTCATTATGAGATGGCCATAAACCTATGGGGGCCAGGAGTGGAATGTAGTAGTTTGAATGATAACAGCCCCCATAGGCTCATGTATTTGAATGATTGGTCTCCAGTTAGTGGAACTATTTGGGAAGGATCGGGAGGTGTGGCCTTGTTGGAGGTGTGTCACTGGGAGTGGCTTAGAGGTTTAAAATATCCACACCATTCCCAATCAGCTCTCTTTCTTTTTCCCAATTGCTGATAAGTATGTGAGCTCTCATATATTGTTTCAGTACCTGCCTGTTGCCATGCCAACCATCATGATGGTCATGGACTCTAACCTTCTGAAACTGTAAGCCTAATAAACTCTTTCTTCCTTAATTTTTCTTGGTCATGGTGTATTATCACAGCAACAGAGAAGTAACTAAGACAGTTCATAGTCTTAAAATTTTCCTGGCATGGTATGACTACCAACAGATCAGGGGAAATGAGAGTCTTAAAAAGCTGGTACTGACAAAGTCACATGATGTCACCATCTGAGGAATAGATTATTTCCTAGAATATCTGATATAACTAAGGTAAGGAGAACTGCATGTACACACACACACACACACACACACACACACACACACACACACACACATGAACACACAGGCATTCTGGCAAGAGGGAGGGAAGAGGAGAGACTGTCAATGTCTCTCTTGGCTGCTTTTGTCCTTTGGGTTGAACTTGACTGGGACATTCACTTGCCTTAGAACCTGAGACTTCAGCAGTTTTCAGGTTTTTCTAGTATTACTGTCATAAGGGACTGGGAATTCCATTCTGTCCTCAGAAGAAGGGAAACCAGAAGTCACTCTTTCTAACCCTCCTAGAAGAATATGACTAGCTAATTTAGAAAGCAGTCCAAAAGTGGGTCTCTAGAAAGAAGGACCAAAGGTTTTTCTCTGCTCACAAAGAAGTTCCAACCTGCCCTCCCCAGCCATGACATGTCAGCCTCATTGGAGATTTGTGCCCGACCCACAATGCACCACGCTACTGCTGAAGGAAACTGCCCAGAACCTTCTGAGTCTTAGACAACACCCCCAAAGAATCATGTGGGGAGCAAAGTCAGAATCAGTCCTAACCCCAATGTAAACAGCCACTGCTAAGATGGACTGTGGGTCCTTGGCAGTCAGGGGCCTTGGTGGAGTGGGGCTAGACTTGTGCAATCTGTCTTTCCATGGTCCCAAGTGAAGGAGGTAAGATGTTCTAAAGATACCTGAAGATGACAACGGGCCCAGCTGTCACACCAACCAGATGCCTCCGTCCTTCTCTCTGTCATTTGCCTAGAAAGCTCCTAAACTTAAATAGTTCCTGAGGTCCAAGAGTAAAAGGAAGTGGCCTCACCTCTCCAGCCCCAGCATTGAGGACGGCATTGATGAAGGACATGATGGCTGTCTTTAAGTTTACCTCATCCCGGTACCGACCCAAACTTCGGTCCAGCTCATTCAGCAGTGTCTAACAGGAAGACAGGAACAGTTAGGGAGGGTGCTACCGGAGAAGCCTCTTCCCCTGTTCTACTGCCTTTCCAGGAAGCTGCTCCATTCTCGGCCTGATCATGCCTCCTCAACTTATGGGGTCCACCCCAGATCTCCACACCCCCTGGCTTCCTGCTCAGCCCTCAGGGCTTGGGTTCCACTGCTGCTCTCTGACTCTGCATCAGCTGCTGACAGTCCCTGGCCATTCCTGCCCAGTTTCCCAACCTCATGGATGCTACTTTTAGTCTGTTTAGCATCTTTTGCAAAGGGCCAGGGGTCACTTTCTGCACAGGCTAATTGCTCATCTGTGAATGTATGGTGCCCGATCAACAGCCTGGCTCATAAATCATAGATTGTGCAATGTCAGGCCAACAACTGAGTCTTATCCAGGCACTGTGCTCAGGTCAGACAGAAGAAGGGGGCTAGCATGGAGCACCTTCCCAGAGCTGGTCCAGTGTCTGCAAATTTGGCACTCATCCAGCCCTGAAATCTTGACCCCCAGCAACTGTACTCAACAATTCTTGTCTGGGCTCCTATCATGAGCCAGGTGCTGATCTCAGATAGCCAGAGCCACAAAAACATGAAGTAAACCAGTATTTCAGCCTCAGGGTCCCACAGTTTAGTAAGAGGACAAATCTATTCGAAAGCCAGACCACAGCTCTGAACATACGATTTCTTATGTCTTTCGAGAGAAGCCTCTGGGTCCTAGGTCTTTCTTCCTTCGTGAGTGGACAGACAGCCTGCAAGATGTCCCTTCCCTCCAGCTTCCTTTATATGGTTCCCAGTCTCTCAGCTTTACCCTGTGTCAGCCCTTCCATGCCCAAGTGATGGCCCAACCCACCAACCCTTTGCCCACCTGGAAGCGAGTGCGCTCAGCTGCATACATCTGGTAGTGCAGCATGGCCTGCAGAACCTTCTTGTGGCCTCCGGGCACGAGGCACACCGCACCCAGGATCTCCAGCACCGCAACCTTAGTCTTGCTGTTCTCCGTGCGCAGGCTCTGCGCGATGGTACTGATGGCCTCGGGCTGTGTCAGAACATGTGCCCGTCCCTGGGAGTTGTTCATCAGAGCCTTAATGCAGCCGATGAGAGAGGTGTGGATGCGGCTCTCACAGGTGGCGTGGTCCATGCTCCGGAGGAAATTCAGCAGACAGGTCAAGCCTTCCAGCTCGATGAAGCGGGTCACGAATCTAAGCAGAGCCCAAAGGGAGTTTCCTATTTTTGTGTCCCACACATTTTACAAATAGCTACTCTATATGCACACCATTCACCATGCTCCACCCACAGCAGTCTCCTGGCTCATTCAGGAGTTTATCCATAGGCCCCAAATCTCATCCTTTCAGAAGACTCACAGTTTAAAAATTCTTTTTAAAAACTTATTTGTGTGTGTGTGTGTGTGTGTGTGTGTGTGTGTGTGTATGTACACACACACAGGTGTGCAGGTGCCTGAGAAGGCAGGAAAAGGCATTAGATACCTGGATTTGGAATTAAAGGCAGTTGTGAGCTACCCAGTGTGGGTACTGGGGACGGAACTTTGATCCCCTGGGAGAGCAGGAAGTGCTCCTAACTGGTGCTTAGTATCTGTCCAGCCCCAGAGTGTTGGGGGAACAGCACATAGGTCCTTGTGCCCACAGATCTCCAGGAAACCCAGCAGTGTTAAACACACAAGATTGCCCTCCCAAGGCAAGGGATGTAAAACCTTTTCTTCCATCCAGAAAGCTGGGAAATGGAGATGATTAACTACCTAGTGATCTGCGTTATCTGTTACATCAGGCCATATCAAACTCCCACAGCCAGGACCAGAAATGGCTGGTAACCTAAATGACCCTTACAGTCAGGGGCTCCCCAAGCTCCCATAGCCAGCACCAGAGGTGGCTAGTAGCCCAACCTCTACACTATCTGTATGACCAAGACTGGGCCAGATTCTCCCCTAGGCCCTTAAGCTAACACAGGTAGCATTTCTCCAGAACCCATCTTATTGGGAGCAATGACATGTACCCCAAGTTGAGTTTCAATGTACTTAGCTTCCTTGTGCAGCAGGGATTGTATTACACCAGAAAACTTTTTTCTAAAACATACTCCGTTTAAATTTGGAACTGAATTTTCATTCTCACGTCTTCCAGGTTTTTATTTTCCCCAGCCTGCCTATACCTCCATGGATACCCCTCACCAAAGGACTTATGTTTTATTTGTATTTTAGTTTTTACTGTGTATGTTCTTGTGTGTGTGTACACACACCAGTGTGTTGCGTGCATGCAGAAGGGAGATATTAATAGCAGGTGTCCTCCTCTATTGTCCTCTACCCTGTTTTCTGAGTCAGGGTCTCTTGGTGAACCTGGACCTTGCCAATTCAGTTAGACTGGCTGGCCAGCCAGCTCCAGGCATAGCGTTTATCTCTGCCTTTCAGCACCGGGGTTAACAGATGTGTGCCTTTTAGATGGGTGCTGGAGATCTGAACTCAGGTCCTCATGCTGGCACGGCCAGGACTCCACCCACTCAGGACTCCACCCACTAAATTACTTCTCCAGCCTGATTATTTATATTATAAATACTGTGTATGATGGTAGTATCCCACCAAAAGGCTCCTGTATTGAAAGTTCGGTCCTCAGCTGCTAAAGCTAGTTTTGGAGGTCCTAGGAGATGGGGGATAGCTGAAAGAAGTATGCCACTGGAGCTGAGCCCCAGGAGGGTATATTCCATACTCTTCCTCTCCCTCCTTGTCCACTGTGAAGGGAACAGCCTCTGCCACCACTCCTGCAACCGTGGAGTTTTCCTTCCCACAGGCCAGAGCCAAAGCTGAGTAACCACAGACTGAACCTTCTGAGAGTCCTTTCTCCCTTCAGTCGCCTTTCTCAGGTACTTGGTCTCAGTGATAAGAAGATACTTCACACATTAAATTTGCCTACCACTGACTGTCCTTTGCATACGTAAGATGGGGGGATTATAATCACTATCATGGGTCAACCTGAAGACTCATCTCTATTCAGACTGGGTATTGAGGGAATTATAGACAGGTGACAAGAAAACACTTCAGCCTGGGGAGGCCATTAGACTCAGAGCCAAGGGACCCAGGCTGGAAAGCTCCCTTTCAGGAGACTCAGGAAAACAACCCTTATCTCGATTGTGCTCAGCCTCTTAGCATTACAGCCATTTAGCCCAGCTACTCTTACTCTGGAGTTGGTGTTCCCAAAAAGAGCCTCTGGGAAGCATTCACTCAGAGTCCAAAGGCCTCTGTGGGGAAAGGGAACTACACCTTTATCTTGGATAACCTCTAACTGAAAATGAGCATTCCACCAACGAGGAATAGAGGCTACCAACCCCAGAACTGCTAGCAGAATCAGAGACTTTTCAACCCAAATAAATCACCGCTATTTTCATATCAAATTAGAGCTGCTGCAGATATCTAAAATATCATTTTCACCCATCGGTACTTCAAGATTATAGTGCTTATCACACCCGCTGCCAGCTCTCACTGCTCAAGCGTTAAAAAGCACATTTATTGCTATCGCCTGCATTTTTTAATATTTGTGAGCCTATTTTAATTGCATTGGCTTATTCTTCAACTCTGTTTGTCTATTTTATGCTGTTATTTAAAGCCATTATTTCCAGGAAGCAAGACTTTAGCTTTTATCTGTGTGACTGTGTGTGAGACATCTATGGTAATACATTAAAAAACAGTAAGTTGTAGAGACCTTAATTCAGTAGCGTAATTAATGATCTGAGAAAATGGTCATGAAATGAGTTCAGAACCACTATTTATAATTAATATGTAAATGTATCTCTATGAATTTTATGTTGCATAAATATCAACAGAGTATGTTCTCAATTTAAGTTAACAATATGTATTTTTTATTTTTCCCTATTTTATACTTTTCTGTATTGCACAGAATTTCTACAATGATGTGATATGATTCTCAAAATCACAATTTTATTAAGGGGAATTAAAATAAACTTTTGATTATATACCATTCTATACTATCTTTACCATGCATCATGGGCATAAACTCAAGAACATACCTAGTAGAAAGAACATATGCAGCAGCAAATGTAAAAAAATAATTGGGTAATTAGTGGTGTATACCAATATTATTTTGAATATCATTTATTTAATCGCTAGTTTATATAATTTAAAATGTAATCAAAAGTAAGTCTAATAACTCATTTGCAAGATTGCTGAGAATTTAATAGTAGGTTCATCCAATGCTAGAAGCCACTTCAAGCACACCACTGGGAAGAGCCAGAAGTGAGGAACTCTGTGGCTCTTGGCTGCCTTTAGACTCTCCACTGTGGTCTAGGAAGGGGGAGAAGCATTCTGTGGCCTTTGGGGCACCCATCCATCCCCTTTCCTTCCTGCTTGGCTCCCGCTTTAGATGGCTAGAGCACACCCTTAGACTCCACATCGCCCCCTAGTGCGTGGAAGATTTCTCAACCCATGCCCTCCTCTTTCTCTGAGTGGTCACTCTGCCCACTCTTTCTCAGAAAGTCCTTTATTATACACCACCTGCCCTCAATGCCCCTTTCAGAGTGTCTGGGGACCCAAGGCTTGTCCGCTTCCCCATATCATTTCCTCTCCTATCCACACACTCCCAGCAACCCAGGAGGGAAATGGGAACTGGGAAGCAAAGAAGATAAAAGGGGATCTTAAGGAATTTTGCAAGAGTGACCTTGGCCAATAGGGCCAGCCTGGAGCAGAGCACTGTGCAAGGCTTCAGGACGACAGAGCCACTGGGAGGGGGCAGAGAAGGAAGGGAGTGATCGCCAGGGTACAGTCCAGGTCACCTCATGGGCTGCGTCCGGAGGGCTGTCTTCAGGTCTTCTACAACTTGGTTCCTCGTGTTGGTCTCCTCCTCGTCAAATTCACACAGGTTCTGCATCTGAAGCCCACAGATAAAGGGAGTAGAAGTCACACTGAGCAGCTTGCCTTCCCTGGGAGTCTTTTGTACTCCCAGGGTAGCTGTGCCTGGGGAGGGTATCTTGCCTTGGGAAGGGCAAGGGCTCAGAGAGTGCTTTACTACTATGATAGACAGACTCTGAGAGAACCAGGTTCTAGTCTGTGACTTAATTTCCCATATCTAGGAAATAGAGGGGATTACTGACTCTTGCCATTTCCCAAGATGTGTGATGTCCAACGGGGGTAATATGTGTTTAACTAGTTGAGGGGACTCTGATGTCCAAGGAGGTGGATTGTATAAGATCTCGGGATTACTGAAAGCTGCTGTGTCTAGCAAGTGTGGCACTGGAGAGCAGGGATGGTGGCTTGGTGTCTGGGGCATCACTGCCTTCCTAGACCTGTCTATGTGGGAATAAGGCGGGAAAAGAACAGACACTTACCGCAGCCATGGAGTTGATACGTTCAATGTAATAGTCAGGCCAGCTGGTTGCCAGCTTGTTGGGGTCCTCCTGCTCCTGAAACATGAGGGACAGACTTAGGTGTGTCCAACCATGGCACACAGGACACATGTATCCTAGGGTAGTTACAAATGTGGCCCAACACATTAGTAGAAGACAGCGTTGTGCCACAGTATCAAGGGGTTGGACACTTCTGGATGGACAGATCCATAAGCTAAGACCGAAACATCATTTGAAGTCTGTAGAGGATCAGTTTCCAGCCCTACCCACAAGGGCAGTCTGTGGAAGCTCCCTAGGTTTCTGTTTCTTTCTTGGTGAAATATTGAAAATGAATACAGATTTACGTGACTGCCTAGAAACCAGGCAGGGGCAGGGGTCATTTTCAATGAGCCATATGTCCAAACTCTAAAATATTTTTCCTGTTGTCTCTATTCTTTTTTATAGTTTATAGCTAATAAAATATCATTTTATGATTACTGAGACTCATATAAAGTAATATTTTTATGTCTTCCATTTGTGTGTGTGTGTGTGTGTATGTATGAATGTGCATGTTTGTGTAAGTACAGGTACATATGGGTGCACACGCATATGTATATGCATGTAGGTGAAGGCCTGAGCGTGACCCTGGTGTTGTCCTCAGGCCCTGTCCACCTTGTGTTTTGAGACAAGTTCTCTCACAGGTCCAGAGTTCGCCAAGTAGTTTCGGATGGCTAGCCGGCAAGCCCCGAGGGAGCCCACCTGTCTCTGCCTCCGCACCACTGGGATTATAAATGTGCTGACCACCACACACGGATTTCTTTAAACATACATCCTGTGGATCAAACTGAGCACCTCATGCTTTATCAATGGGCTATCAGAAATTTTCATTATCTGATATAGTGGTTTGAATAAAAAGTATCCCCCATAGGCTTAGGCGATCGAACACTCGGTTCCCAGTTAAGGAGGTTATGGAACTCTTAGGACATGGAGCCTTGCCAGTGTGCCAGGAAGCAGCCCAAGAAGGGTAGCGACACTTCTCATCTTTTTCTCTCACTGACCCTGACCCAGCCCAAGGGTCTGGCAGGTGTCTGTCCCATGGGTTTCTGGAATAGACAATCCTGATTCTCAGAGGGTAAGCCCAAGATAATAGGGATAGTTTTCTTGCCTTCTTTAAAATGAGTTTCATTTGCATGGGTATGTATGCAGGTGTGTGTGAGTGTGTGGAGTGCTACTATATGAGTGTACGTGTGTATGTGTGCACACATATATGGAGGTCAGAGGACAACCTCCCATGCATTCCTCAGGAGCTGTTCCCTCTAGTTTTTGAGATAAGTTCTCTCCTTGCGACCTGAGGCTCACCAGTTTAGTCAAGTTCGTTATCCCAAGAAGCCCCAGGGACCCTCACACCACCTCCTCCCAAAAGTGGGATTACAAGCATGCATCAATAGTCTGGCTTTTTATGTAGTTGCTGGGATTTGAACTCAGGTCCTCAAGTGTGCATAGCAAGTGTTTTACTAACTGAGCTCTCTTCTCAGCCCACACTTGGTTTTTCTTTACTGTTTGCTCTCACATTCTTAGTGTGTACCCAAGACTCTCTAGAGTGAATTAAAGAAAGAAGGAGTGAATGAATGAAGAATGAGCATCAGAGATGTCCCTTCTGGGGCCCTGAGGTGGAGCAGGAGGGGCTGAGGGGGACCACCTTCTTCTTGCTGCAGTAGATCTGCCATTTCTTCTCGGGTGGTAGTGCAAACACAGCCTCTCGGTTTTTGTCCGTGAGGTCCAATTCATCCTACAAAGACAAGGAGAATCATGCCTGAGTATGAAGCCACCAGGAGACCAGAGCACCCCAGACTACCCACAGCCTATGACCTCCTCCCAGAGAGCATCACACACACCATAAGGCATCTCTTGCTCCACTAGAAGCAGAGTCCAAAGCCCTTGCCACAACCAAGTCAGGTTTTTCTACCCTATGCTCCTTTGCTTCCTGCCCACACCTCCTTGTCTTTGCGAATCCCCTTCCTGCTCCAGGCCACCCTGTTCCCGACTTTCCTGCCTTTGCTTTTCTGCTCCCTCGTCTGGCATGTCCGGTGCATGGTTGCTTGTCTTTACAAAGTCTGCTAGCACCTAAACTGGAGTTAAGGCCTGACGAAGAGGCCCCATGCCATCAGATGGCCTTGTCCCTTTCTCAGATCTTCCTACCCTTCTTCCTGCCTATAGAGTCTCTCCTCTGAATTTTCCCGGATCCTTCAAGCTCAGCATGACTGGAGAAGCTGAGCCAGAGGGGCGAGGGCCAGAGTGAGCAGTGGGAATGGAAAACCATCTCAAAGGAAGCAGTGACATTGATCAGTAAGCCTTCCACCTTCAGGACACCAGGTGAGGCTCTGCAAGGCTCAGGGCTCTATCAGGCCAGGCTATACTTCCTGAGGAGCAAGCCTCGGAGGTTGTCATACTTTGGGGTCATTCTCTTGGTAGTTTGGATGATTTTATAGGTTTGTCTGTGCTGGGTGGCTTCTAAAGAGCTGTTTTGTTTGGGGTGTGTGTGTGTGTGTGTGTGTGTGTGTGTGTGTGTGTGTGTGTGTGTGTGTGAGTGATGAGTGCAGGTACTCATGGAGGCCAGAAGAGGGCATCAGATCCCCTGGAACTGAAATAACAAGCAGCTGTAAACCACAAAGTGTTGTGCTGGGAACCAGCCTTGGGTCCTCTGTAAGAGCAGCAAATACTCTTAACCACTGAGCCATCTCTCCAGCCCTGGGGCTTTAGAGAGAATATTTAAGACTTCTCCTTCCCTAGGTCAGAACTGTGAAGTAGAATGTAATGAGAGAAGCATATCTAAAAATGTTTTAGTCATACTAAAAAAATTAAAGAGGAAAAATGGATGAAGTTAATTTTAATGTTACATTTTATTTCAACTAATATAACTAAAATACGACCATTTCAACATGTAGTAAATGTAAAAAGTATTGGTAAAATATTTTACATTTTTCCTCTTTTTTTCTATTTTTTTCTTTTTTTCCTTTTCTTCTTTTTTCTTTTTTTGAGATAGGTTCTCATGTAGCTCAGACTGGTCTGGAATTCACTATGTAGCCAAGGATGACCTTGAACTCCTAATCCTCCTGCCTCCACTCCCCAAGTGTACCACCACATCTGGCTCATTATTTCTTTCAAACTAAGACTTCCAAATCCCATGTGTATGACTGCCCATTCTTCCTATCCTGCTGGGGGAGTCAGCAGCCCAGCTCAGCTCAGGTAGTCAGCAGCTGCCATCGGACAGCACACACCATGTGCTTTAAAACAATGCCAATCAGCGTGCCTGCCTTTGAAATTAAACATGTCTACAGTTTTAGTGACAAGGAGAAACTCTTTCATCAACCTGTCCTCTGCACAGCCCAGGAGACGGTCTTCCTTGGTCCCAGCCAGGTCCTAGGCAGGAACCAGGCATCTCTGCCTCCATGTTTCTAGTTATTCATCCCCCCATTGAAGGCTCTCAGAGTCCCCTGTAGAACCCCACTTTCTGCTTGCTTCTGAAATTAAAGGCTCCTATGGAAATTCCAGAAAGCAACTGAGAGAAAACTATCAAGAGTTCTCAATGTCTCTTTTCACAATCTGACCCTTCTAATGGCAGCCAGGCTGCTCCAGCACCAGATGGTCCAGAACCAAAGGGAACTGGAGGAAGATCCTTTGTCCTGGGGACCATTTCATGTTCCATTTCATGGTGTCTGCCTCAGTGAGGGTCTGTTTCCTCTACCGGGAAGGTGCTTTGGGAAGCACTACCTCATCCCTAAGAAGAGCTTTGTGGAGTGGAGAACTCAACACATAGGCTCCTGTCCTCTGCCTTCTCTGCTCTCTATCCACCCATTTCCCCATCATCAGAGCCCGCTCAACCCTTCCCTCACTAACCACCAGCTCTGCAAAGCGGATGTTGAGCTCCTCTGGGTTCGGGATGGGACCGGAAAACTCCAGATATTGCAACGGGTGGCTGTCCCGGAGGTCGATCTCAGGGAGGTCACTGCCTCCAAAGCAGCAAAGGAAGCCCAGGCCATGGTGACTCCTCTTGCTCATAGCCATGGTCACTGCAGGCTGGGATGGTCAGCAGGCAGGTGCCTCAGGTCCTCATTGGCACAATCTAGGTATCAGGACAGAGAGAACGGGTGGTCATGAGAAAGAGCCAGACAGAGAGGGACAGAGGCCACTCTGCCTCCCGAACTCTGGTTACAGAGACTGTTGGGGGCCATCAGCTCGGTATTAAAGGCCTGTCCCTTCTCTCACAGACTCTCTACTTCTTCCAGCTCCCTCCACCTGAAATTACTCAATTGTCCTCACCAGACTCGCAGGTGTTTGCTGGCATGGACATTTCCCCAGTCCCTTTCTCTGTCCCTGGAGAAGTGCCGGGGACAGTAGTCACAACATATGACCTTCAGGTGGTCAGAGCTGGTGCTTAGCTGATGTTTTCCATACCTGTGATGAGAATATCCTAGGAGTTCTCTGGCCCCTCGAGGATCAACATACACCAAAGTTCATGGATCTGATCCATTTCAGGGTCAGGGAGAGATGGTTTTATGGGTGATGGGAGAGGAGGGTGGAAGTCAGCTGTTGGAAGAACTTTGAGCTAATTATAGGACACAGCTCCTGATGCATAGGCCCCCAGAGAAAGAGATGGAAAGAGCCTCTAGCGCTTGCCCACTCTCTAGTACTCAGATGTGTTCAAAGTAGCTCAAAATGTCCACAAGACAATGGCTCACCCATCCATCTTGAAGGAGGCCAGAGCTCTCAGCATGAGGAGAGTTGGGAGATTAAACCCCAGGTGAGATGAAGTTGTCCTTTGGGATGGTGTTGAACGTGTTTGGGGAAATCTGGCCAGATGTGCTTTCCCCACCCACCAAGGACTCTGCTCTGACTGAGACTGATTGATGGGTTGGAACAGAAAGAGTTAATTCATTGGCCTTGCCCCTGGGGAAACCTCACTCAGTGGTGTCAATTAGAGGAGAAACACCGGCCCCCACCATGGCTGCCCCTGGATTGCTTAAGTTAGGCCATCTGCACAGAGACCTCTTCAGGGCAGATCCATCCTCCACCTCTGGTTCCCAACACATTTCAAATGACCTGAGTGGATTTAACAAGGAGACTAATAAGATCCACATACTCAGTCTTGCCCAGAGCATCTCTCCACCACCTTACACATAGAGCTCCATTTTCTAGATATAAATATAGGACTTATTTGTTTGCTCTTTATGTGTGTGTATGTGTGTGTGTGCTTGTACACACATGTGTAACGTGGTGTACATGTAGAAGTCAGCAAAACTGGTGAGAGTCAGTTCTCTCCTCCCACCAGGTGTATTCTGAGGATGGAACTCAGATTCCCAGGTTTGGTGGCAATCACCTTTACCTAGTAAGCCATCTTGCCATCTTTATTTAATTTGCTGGGGGTTGCTGAGTTACTTTTGAGTCTTGGTACTTTGCTGTCTCTCCTGGATCTGGATGAAGACCTATCCACAGCTGACACTACATCATTGATGAAAATGCACTAAATCACCATGAGATAACAGCCACATCATCCACACCTGGAGGCATGGTCCATCAGGGAGCTCTATACCCATGTGACTCTTCATCCACACCTGGAGGCATGGTCCATCAGGGAGCTCTGTACCCACGTGACCCTTCATCCACACCTGGAGGCACGGTCCATGGGGGGAGTTCTGTAACTACATGACTCTTCATCCACACCTGGAGGCATGGTCCATTAGCAAGCTCTGTACCCACGTGACCCTTCATCCACACCAGGGGGCATGGTCCATCTGTGAGCTCTATATCCACATGAATCTTCATTACCAGTCCTTTTCCTATACAGCAATGTGGGAAGTCTTCACTCCAGCCTTGTGAACTTGTTATACTAACCCTGAAGCATTCCTTTGAACCAAGCTCTGGGATCTTACAGAGAAATAAACAAGATAAACATAGCACACGTGATCCCTGGAACCTTCTAGAGAATAGCACCTTACTCTCAGACTCCTAACAAATTGGCTAACTGTTGTAGAATTTTATGTCAACTCTCATTTAAATTACATCCCATTTTAATTGCCATTCTAGAACTTTTTTTTTACTGATTCAATTTTTATCTTTCTTTATAAATCTTGTGATAGGCTTTTTAAGAGGTGCAGGCCAGCCTTAAATAAAACAGTCTGAAAGAGCTGTGTGACACTGGTTCTTTCTTGATTAAACACTGGCCCTCACACGTATTTGAGGCACCTTGAAGATAGAAGCTGCATCTCCTGCCTCTCTGGTGACCTTCATTTCTACAGGTAATAAAAGACTTGTGCTCAACGGTGATCAATCCACAGGTCTGTCAACTTAAACATTACCTGTGATCTCAGAAAATGAGGATAGAGAACTCTTTATTAAGCAGCCAGGAAATACCAGTTGGAACCGCTCAGTCCTAGCAGTTGACAAGCAACCAGGAACCTTTTCAAGAGTAGGAGGAGAGGTGTAGGGCTGGGGTGGAGGCGTCACTATCCTGGACCAGAGACTTCGGATGCTCGAGGAGGGATGTCTGGGGTCTTCCGTGGGATTTGACAGCTGGTGAGCACGATGGGTGTGTTCATCACTCTTCATTGCCTGGCAAAGTCAGCTGGAGGAAGGTGCAGGTCTCGTCCCTCAGCGTGAGAGGACATGGAGAGAGCAGGGCACTTGGTCACATCACACTGTAGTCAGGGATGGAGGAGGAGCCAGAGCCTAGCGTGATTTCTTCTTTTCATGTGGTCTAGGACTACAGCCCGTGGAGCAGGTCCCACCTCAATCAGCCTCATCTAGAGAATCCCTCACAGACGAGCCCAGAGAGTAATTCTAGATTATGTCCAGTTGACCGTCCATGTTAACCAGCAGAGTGGGTGAGACAAGGCCCTGGTGTCTGAGGGCCAGGCGCTGTGAGGCTCCACATCTGAAGGCAGATGGGTAATCATGAAGACTACGAAGCTCATCCCCTTGGTTTCATCAGCCTTGTGAATCCAAAGGAGTTAGGTTGAGTGCAGAGTGCATAAAGAAGCTTCCAGAGGCTGAGGCAATGAGGCCAGGCTGGTAGCACGATGGAACTCTAGGAGGGTCAGACTGATGCCTAGGAGGACTTGTGGCCCTGCCTTCACCCCCTCATTTTCTTGTACCCTGAGTCTTCCTCAACCTCCTCTGCTCTTCCACTCCTCCCAGACCTTGCCAAATCAGGGGTGAGCCAGGATGAACCCAAGCTGGCCCAGCTTTACACCCACTGTTCACAGCCACTACTGCTCTGCTTGGTCTCCTTGTCTTACCTGTTATCACATGTGACATTTCCTTCTGGTGTGGGGAGCTAGGCACAGTGACTGCTCACAGCTCTGCCCATCTGCTTTCTTAGCTCTAGCCACCTGCTGGCAGAGCCAGGAGCAGAGGCCCAGAAGCCAGGCAGCCTGGACTTTGACCCCTGGCTTTGCCTACCTGACTGGTGGTGACCTTAAGGATATCTCCTAGCTAGGAGCTCAGGTGCCTTATCTGAGATACTGACATAATTACCATGTCTTTCATGTGAGACATGAACAAGACCATGGACATGATGGGAGCACCTGAGTGCTCAGTAGGTAGACACCAACATGGCTGCTGACCTTTGGTCTCGGGGTCACCGCAGATGAGACTGGCCCTACCCAGAAGCACATTCCTTCAATGGGATGCTTAGGCCCAGCCTTACAAGAATTGCCCACCACAACTCAGAAGTCACCTGGCTTTAGCTTCAGAAACTGAGAAATTGAGAGAGAGAGAGAGAGAGAGAGAGAGAGAGAGAGAGAGAGAGAGAGAGAGAGAGGAAGAGGAAGGAACTGGCCTTTTCCTGCATTCGAACTCACTCTAGTTAGAAGAGATGGTGGGGGTTTGAGGTGACAGACAGGCTGATTACCCTGACTTGATCATTATGTAAAATGGGCATGTATTGACACATTGCCTTGTACTCCACAGGTGTGCATAATGATTATGCATTGACTCCAAGGCTGGAGTCTGGGGAGATGGCTTAGCTGGTAAAATTTTTGCCTTGCAAGCATGAGGACCTGACTTCAGGTCCTAGAATCCATGAATGGAGTTGTTTATGTGATCCCAGAGCTGAGGACAAGGAGCCAGGAGGACCAGTAGGGCTTACTGGTTTGTTGACTAGCCAGCTTATCCTACGTGGTAAGTTCCAGGCCACTGAGAGACCACATGTCCAAAAGAGACAGGAAGGTGGGAAAGCAATACCTGAGGTTGTCTTCTGCACGTGTATGTGCACACCATGTCCATGCACGCATGCGTGAGACCACACATGCCACAAATAGAGCTGGGAATACAGCTCAGTGGTAGAATGCTTGCCTAGCATGCATGAGACTGTAGGTTCAATTCCCAACATTGCAACCCAAATCAATCAATCAATCAACCAACCAAAATTTAAAAAGAAAAAGAGAGCAAAGCAGAAGCCAGTGACTGGCTGTGGGCAGGTGGTGGGTAGTGGAAGGTAATGTGGCCAGAGCAGTGTCATTGTAAAGTCCCTTTAAGAAGAGGAGCAGGATTGAGAAGCCACAGGGGACAGCAGGAAGCAAGAGCAGAAGGAAGCCCAGTGGACTTGAGCTCAGGCCAAAGGGACTGAACCTGCCTCCAGCATGACCCACTTTTTCCTCCATGAAAGCCTCCCCAGTGTGGCAGCCTCTTGCTTCCCACATCCTCCCCCTTCCTGTGGGGACACTAAGCCATGGGATCAGCACCTTCTATGAGCTGCCAGAGTCTCTTCCAGGCCTCACCCTCACTGCCACAGCATATTCTGAGATGGGCCGGTCCCAGCTCCGTCACTATACTTGTGGGTCAGTGGTCCTGGTGTTTCATAGTGTTCCTCTCTCTGAGACCGAGGTACCCCAGTGGAACAGCTGCCTTTGACTGAAGATCTCCAAGAACCCCAACCTTTCTCACTATCTGGCTCGATCCCTTCTCAAAGGTTTCCCAAGGGGCTCCTCTTTTCTGAGCATCCCAGCTCCCCACATCCCACCCTAAGCTAGGCAGGAAGGACTCCTGTCTCCAGATTCTGTTCCCGTCTGGTTTCCTCTAACCCCCAAGCCATGACCTCCACCACTCCACACTGCACAGCTGGCA